AAGCCGCAAACAAGGGGTAGCACACGCACAGTGTAGATGTAGCGGCTCTTGCTCGACAAATTCTTGTTGCTCTGATGCATGACTGAGCCGTGAATGAGGACGAGATCGCCTTTGCCCGCCCAATGCAGCCAACATCAGCATGTGCGCCACAAGAAGAGGGGAGCTGTAAGGGGGGGGGGGGGAAGAAGGAGGAGGGGGCAAACTCACCCGGCTCGCATTCCTCCATGACCGCCTTGCCCGCATCCCACGGCTCTTCTTCCGCGGTGGCGAGTTGCACAAACTCCGTACCGCCTGCCTGCGCTCTCACAAAGCGGCGATTGACGCCGCGCTGCCTGCCCAGCCGCTGCTCCTGGCCGTCGTCTCGCGGCCTGCTCGCCTCTTGCAGCTGCGCGCCTGGCGCGTGCCGATGGCTGCCCTTGATGAAGCTCAGCGCGCCATTCGTCGCCGTGCATTGCTCCAATGCAAACCAGAGGCCCAGTGCGCTGGGTGTGTCGGTGTAGAGAAAGGTAGAGTCGTTGTGCGGCCGCACCTGGCCGCCGATCTCGGGCTGCTTGCAGATGACCATGCTCTGCAGCACGCGCGGCGACGTGTGCGTGTGCAGCGAGCGCACGAGGGCGGCAATGCGCGGCGAGAAGGAGAGGGCGTGGAAGGTGGGATCGAGGGCGTGCAGTGCTTGCCTCGGGGTGTGAGCGAAGGAGAGGCAGAGGAAAGAAGGGCAAACGCACCATGCCCGACCTTGTTGACGCTCAGCTCGGGCGCGCGCGTCAGCTGCCCCTGCGCGACGGCCTCCTCCTCGAGGAACCAGCGCACCTTGTCGCCCGAGTCGAGAAAGTAGTCCTGTGCTTGCCATCAGTCTCTCTCTCTCGCCGCATGCCGCCATACTCACATCGCCTACATGGCGCGCCTCGCCCTCGTCCTCGTCGCCCGTGGCGAAGCGCGTGAGGGGATGGTGGGCCGGCTGGAAGGCCTGCACGAGCTGCTGCGCACGTGCGAGGGGCGCAAAGGCGTCGAAGAAGGAGCGCAGCACGAGATAGCCGTCGCGCTGGAAGTGCGCCAGCTGCGCGGCGGAGAGGGCGCCGTCGGCGGCGCACGAGGCGGACATGGCGAGAGGCGGTGGGGGAGAGAGAGGCAGCGAAGGCCACGGTCCGTGCATTGATGGAGGCGAGCGTGGGAACATCTGCACCCCCCCACGCGCGCTCCCTGCACTCGTACGGCAGAGCGTGTAAATTGACGCGTCTTGCCACTCGCGGGCACTGCGCCAGTCTTAGTGTGATGCACCGCCGGCCTGCAGGCGGCGTGGCGAATCGGGGCGCCTGCTGCAAAGGCACGCTGCTGGCCACAGTGCCGAGTTCGCGCTCGCCCTCCTTTCTTCCTGCCCGCCACATCTCCCTCTCCCCTCTCCCCTTCCATCCCATCCCACGCAATGCCGCCTCGTCGCAGTGCCCGTGCCTCAGCCGCGGGCTCTGCGCCTGCGCCTGCGCCCGCTGCGCAGCGCTACGCCGACTCGCCCGAGTCGCCCGCCACCACCACCGCCACCACCACGGCCCCAGCCTCGGGCCTCTCCACGCCCGCCACCAGCGTCGGCGGCGCTGCCTCTGTCGCTGCTCGTCACGTGCGTTGCCGTCGTCCTTGTCCACGACCCTCTGCATCAACCACACTGACACCTTGCTGCTTGCAGCCGCGCGAGGGCAGCCTCGACTCGTACGCCTCGTCGGACGGCAGTCTGCCCGAGCGTCGCTTCGCCGTCATCCCGCCGCTGCCCGCAAGCCGCAAGCGCAAGGCGGCAGCGCCCGTCTTTGCCGCCGCCGCGCCCGACGCGGCCGAGGCAAGCGGCGGCAGCGACATCGAGTTCGTCTCGCATGCCGCGGCGCCCAAGGTCAAGGCCGAGCCCAAGCGCAGCCTGCGCCGCACCAAGCCGCAGCGTGTCGTGTCGCCTGAAGACGATGGCTTCCTCTCTGGCCCTTCGCTCGGCGACGCCAGCTTCAGCGGCGGCGGTGGCGGCGGATTCTTCGCTGCCGACGCTCCGCACGACGAGCCGCCCGCGAAGAGTGCCGCGCGTGGCAACAAGGCCGTGCCGCGCCGCATCGAGGCGCTGAAGCCCCTGGCGGAGCTGTACAGCGACGAGGAGGAAGAGGCAGAGACGACGCGGCTGCTCGCACAGTCGCGCGCGGCGCGCGCAGGAGAGACGCCGCGCCAGCTCGCTGCGCTCACCGCCAACGCCAGCGCCAATGCCCCGAGCTCGGGCTCGCGCCCGCGTCCCGCGCGTGCGGCGCGGCCGAAGAGCTTCAAGGGGCTGCTGAGTGAGGATGAGGAGGCCGTGGCGGACTCCTGGGACGCTCTCTCCGAGGCCCTGGCGCTGCGTCTGCAGGCGGAAGAAGACGAGCGTGTCGGTGCGGGTGGCTTTGTCAAGCATGAAGGCGGCTTCGACGACGACGACGACGACGGAGGATCAGACTTTGGCACGCCTGCTCCCCGCGCCGGCCCCTCGCGCATCAAGGCTGCTGCGGCGCCGAAGCCTCGCGCTCGCGGCCGCGCGACGAAGAAGGCGCGCATCGAGACGTCGGAGGAGTACGAGGCGCCGCTGCTCGGCAGTGATCTGAGCGATGCGCCGAGCGACGACGAGGGCGCCGAGGGCCTGCAGGAGGATCAGCGCTGGGAGACTGCCATCCAGCGCGAGAAGCGCCTGAAGCGCCGCAAGACGAAGAAGGGCAAGCAGAGCCAGGTGAGTGCAGCGTCTGCGAGCGCCGCAAGGCGAGACGCGCAGCGCCATGCAGCACGTTTGGCTGATTACGCATTCCAAACCGCCCACCAGTACGAGCGTGCGCACGGCCAGTTCAGCGTGCATCATCCCGAGCTGGCCACCGTGTGGACGGACCTTGCGGCCACTGCCGAGCCGGTGCCGCAGCAGGCGGCGCAGCCCGAGGGCCTGACGATCAAGCTGCTGCCGTTCCAGCTCGAGGGCCTGCACTGGCTCAAGGCGCAGGAGGCCAGTGCCTGGAAGGGCGGCCTGCTCGCAGACGAGATGGGCATGGGCAAGACGATCCAGATGATCTCGCTCTTCCTCAGCGACCGCAAGAAGCCCGTGCTCGTCGTCATTCCGACGGTGGCGATCATGCAGTGGAAGAATGAAATTGCAAAGGTGAGTGAGGGCCCAGGCGTGTGCCGTTGCTGCAGCTTCGCTCACACCTTGTCCCCCCGCCGCAGTACACGGAGAACTTCAAGGTGCTCGTCTGGCACGGCTCGGACCGCGAGACGGATGCGGCCGAGGTGCAAAAGTACGACGTGGTGCTGGCGACGTACGCCGTGCTCGAGTCTTCCTTTCGCAAGGAGCACCAGGGCTTCAAGCGCAAGGGCGTCACGATCAAGGAGCCGAGCGCCGTGCACGCCATCCACTGGCACCGCATCGTGCTCGACGAGGCGCACAACATCAAGGAGCGCTCGACGAACACGGCCAAGGCGGCCTTTGAGCTCAAGGGCACGTTCCGCTGGTGCCTCTCCGGCACGCCGCTGCAGAACCGCGTGGGCGACCTGTACTCGCAGATCAAGTTTCTCGGCGGCGACCCGTTCTCCTTCTACCTCTGCAAAAAGTGCCCCTGCAAGTCGGCGTACTGGTCGTTTGAGAACAACCGCTACTGCCGCACGTGCGGCCACACGGCCATGTCGCACGGCAACTTCTGGAACCAGGAGGTGCTGAAGCCGATCCAGCGCGGCGGCGCCTCGCACGGCGAGGGCGGCGATGCGTTCAAGCGCATGCGCCTGCTGCTCAGCCGCATCATGCTGCGGCGCACCAAGATTGAGCGCGCCGACGACATGGGCCTGCCGCCGCGCACGATTGTCGTGCGGCAGGACAAGTTCAGCGAGGAGGAGGAGGACCTCTACACGAGCCTCTACCAGGAGGGCACGCGCAAGTTCAACACCTACCTCGACCAGGGCACCGTGCTGAACAACTACAGCAACATCTTTACGCTGCTGACGCGCATGCGGCAGATGGCCTGCCACCCCGACCTCGTGCTGCGCTCAAAGACGGGCATGGCGGCAAAGATGCTGGGCGAGGCGGCGGGCGAGGGAGTGCATGTGTGTCGGCTGTGCACGGACGAGGCAGAGGACGCCATCATGTCCAAGGTGCGTTCGGGCCTTGCCTTGCTCCCGTCTCGACACACACTCCGCTGACGCGTTCGCTCCCTGCAAGTGCCGGCACATCTTCTGCCGCGAGTGTGTGCGCACCTACTACGAGAGCAGCACGGCCGAGGGCGGCGTGCCCGACTGTCCGCAGTGCCATGCGCGCCTCACGATTGACCTCGAGCAGGAGGAGCTCGAGCCGCCGGCGCAGCTGGCCGAGCATCAGAAGGGCCGCCAGGGCATCCTGGAGCGCCTCGACATGGACAAGTGGCGCTCGAGCAGCAAGATTGAGGCGCTGGTGGAGGAGCTGGAGCGCAGCAAGCGCGATGACAGCACAACAAAGGTGCGCCTGCCCCCCCTCCCCCCCCCTCGCCCCTGCTTGCCATCTCCATCTCTCACTGCTGATTACCTCCTCGCGCGCGGGCAGAGCATCGTCTTTTCGCAGTTCGTCAACTTCCTCGACCTCATCGCGTTCCGCCTGCAGCGCGCGGGCTACAAGATCTGCCGCCTCGAGGGCGGCATGTCGCCGCAGGCGCGCGACAATACGATTCAGCACTTTATGAAGAACGCCGACGTCACGGTGTTCCTCGTGAGCCTCAAGGCGGGCGGCGTGGCGCTGAACCTGACCGAGGCGTCGCGCGTGTATCTCATGGTGAGGCGGCGGCGCGCGCGCGTTCCGGGAGAGACCCAAGCGTGTTTCCATGCGATGCTGATGCTTTGGCTGCTGCGGCGCGCCGATACAGGACCCGTGGTGGAACGGCTCGGTGATGGCGCAGTCGGCCGACCGCATCCACCGCCTGGGCCAGTATCGCCCCATTGTCATCCGCTACATGGTCATCGAGGACAGCATCGAGTCGCGCATGTGAGTTGTTGTCTCTCTCTCTCTCTCCCACTCCTCTGCTCTTGTCCCTGGCTGAAGCTGTTTGCCCCCGCTGCAGTCTGGAGCTGCAGTACAAGAAGCAAAACATGATCAACGCCGCCCTCTCGTCGGACGACGCGGCGATGAGCCGCCTCTCCGTCGCCGACCTGCAGTGCGTCTTGTGTCCGCTCGCTCGCCATTTTTGGACGTTCTGCTTACCTACCCCACCCCCCTCTCTTTCGTTTGCAACAGGTTCCTCTTCCAGCTCTAGGCCTCTCTCGGCCTCTCTTCGCGGCACGTCACCTTTCTCACGACCCGACACACGCACGCGCGCACAGCGCACATACACGCACACCGTTCCCAAGACTTGGCTCCCCTGTTCTCGCATGTAGCACCGCCACCGACCTCTAATGACGACCTAGCCGTGACCTCCACTGCTGCCTGGTGCTTCGAGCTTGAGAGCCGAGAAAAAGCGACGAGAGTGGGCGCGCCCCCGCCGGACGTGACAGCAACCTTGGAGCCCGCGCCACCGCGTGTTGGACGTGCCGCGGCCCAACTCTCGCTGCTCCACACCCGCTCTGGCTGCGCCTGCCGCTGCGCCCGGGCCACCAGCGCATGGCGCTCGACGCTTTGCTGAGCTGAACGCTGAGCCTTTTGCCTTCTCTCCATCATCCACTGCATCTCCAGCCCCGCCCGCCGGCATCGCGCTCTCCTCGCGGCAAGAGTCGCCCGGCCGTCGCGCAGAGGTGCCGTCGCCTCAGCTCTGCCAGCGGGGCGCCGAGGCGCATCAGCCGCTCTCACGTGCGCGCGTCCGTGGCCTGCTCCACAGGCGGCGCCGAGCTCGCAGCTGCGACTCTGCTCTCAGCCACTCCCTCGCAACGCTTCCAAACTCGACCACTTGCTTCTCTGCTCCCTCTCATTGGCGCACGCTCGTGCGCTTCCTCGAGGCTCGTCTCGCCCCTCCTCGGCGCACGATGCCGCAGACCTACCTCGGCGGCTACACGCTCGCCTACGCCTGGCCACAGGCCGCCTTCGGCGTGCTGCACAAGTATCCCAATGCGCAGACCACACACGTCACCTCCGTCGATGTGATTGAGCAGCGCTTCGATGCCGCGTCCGGCCTGCTGCGCCTCGAGCGCATTCTGGGTGTCGTGCAGGGCGCGCCGGGCTGGGTGACGCGGGTGAGTGGGGCGCGGCGGGGCAGACTGGCAGAGAAGCGAGAGCCCTCCCTCAGGGAAGCTGACACGGCCGCACGCGCGAGTAGCTGCTGGGCGGCCCGGACGAGACGTTTGTGAGGGAGGTGGTCATGATTGACCCGGCCAGCTCGCTGCTCGAGATGACGTCGACAAAGTGAGTGTTGACGCACTCACTTGCGCCCCGCCCGGCGTGCTCACACGTTCCTGCCAGTCTCACGCTCTCGCAGTTCCTCCTCGTCAAAGAGTACATCACGTACACTCCAACGGCCGGCGGCGGCGTCGCGCAGCCGTGCGGCACGCAGTTCAGCCAGCGCGCCCTCATCCAGGCCGGCAATCTGGGCCTCGCGGCCGTGGCGCGCAAGGTCGAGGGCTGGAGCGTGAGTCGCTTCGGGAGCAATGCGGCAAAGGGCAAGCTGGGCATCGAGGAGGTGCTGCGCAACATGTGGAGCAACGCCAGTGCCCAGGCGTCAGGTGGAGCACGTCTGTGAAGGATGCCAGAGAGAGAAATGCCTAGGATTTGGAAGAGGGTCCGGCGCGGGGCGCGTGCTGGGGGAGAGGGAATGAGGGAGGTGTAGAGATACAGATGCAGAGAGAAGTCGTGAGTGCGTGAAAGAGAGTCAAGGTTGTGACTAGAAGACAGAGGGCAGTGCCTCGGGCTGGACGACACCGCCAGCAGGTGGCTGTGGCGTGCCGCTCGCGGCCCGCTGCGGCGTGCCGGTGAAGTACGAGTCTGGTGCGGGCAAGGCGACGTCAGCCTCGTGCAGCAGATGCCACTGCCCTCCCCTGGCGGCTCACTCATCGAGGCGCTGAAGCGCGCGGCGTAGTCGCGCGGCGGCAGGATGGTGACGTTGTCCTTGTTGCTCTTGAGCGCCCGCTTGCCCGAGCTCTCGAGACTCTTGGCCAGCGTCCACGCGCCGATGATGTCGACGATGCGCGTCTGGATGCGCGGCGCCGGCGCCTCGACGCTGCTGCCGCGCTGCTCGCCGTCGTCGGCTGTCGTCGGCTCGGTGACGCCGAGCAGCAGCGAGTAGTCCATGATCTGCGTCTGCTGCAGGAAGTGCAGGTCGTTGGCAATGGCGCGCTGGAAGAGCTCCTTGTGCGCCTCGGGCACGTGCGGTGCGTGGAACACTGGCAGCGCCAACTTGCGTCAGCGATGACATGGCGACACGAGATGCTGTGCGCGAGGACTCACTGTCGAGCCACTCGGCGTCCCAGAGCACGGGCGAGCCCGTCTCTTCTGCCACGGCGCCGCCGGGCTTGGTGCGGCGGTCGCGGATGCCCTTGAGGTCGAAGCGCGCCATCTGAGTAGGAAGCATGAGCAAGCAGCCCTAACCGCGAGGCACGCTGCGCGACGCCTCACCTCCTTGCCAGTCCACAGATTCTCGAGCAGCATGATGTTCATCTTGAGGCGCGTGTCGCCGCCGACCTGCTTGATCTTGAGGCTGTACACGCCGGCAATCTTGACGAGCAGCGTCGGACAGTCCTGCAGCAGGGCGGTCAGCAAGCACACACTTGAGCTTGCTCATGCTGCCGGCACGCACATTCACCGCCGCGTTCATCATGTAGCGCAAGTAGGCCGGCGCAAATTCGCTGCACCCTCGCGTCAGCACTTGCCACGCGCAGCCGTCATGGCACAGGCAACTCACAGGAAGGCCTCCTTCTCGTCGACGGACCACACCGTGAGCAGCTGCTTGGCGACGAAGCGGTCGTCGTGCGTCTTGAAGAAGGCGCTCTTGCTCTTGCCGCCGCTGGCCGTCCACATGACACAGCGGCTCAGACTCTCGGCATAGTCGGCGTCCTCGATGCCCCAGCGCTGCCGCAGCGTGGCAAAGTCCTGCGCGAACCAGCTGACGCACGAGAGCTTCGTGGAGCCGTGGAAGACGTTGTGCTTGATGTGCTCGGCAATGGCTGGCGCCGAGTGCCGCGGCACGGCAGCAGCGCTAAGCACGCCCTCGCCAAGGCCGCCTGGCGTCGCGCTGCCGCTCGACACGGGCAGCCCGGAGGTCATCGGCGGCGGCGTGAGTCCCAGCGTGCCCTCGGAGGCGATGCGCTGGCCGTGGTCTGCAACAGCCTCCGCCTTCGGCTCGCGCACGCTGTTGAAGCCGTCGTTGCGATTCCACAGCGGGCCAAGCGAGACACTGGCAGCAGAGCTCTCCGCAAGAGATGCCGAGTCGACAGACGAGTCTCCGTTGAGATCCCGGCTGAACAGCGAGGCGAGCGACGGCGGCTGGCCGGACACCTGCACGACCTGCGCGCGGAACGTGCTATTCGTCCCGGCCGAGCTGATCGAGCCGTCGAAGCGGTGGTTCTTGCCAGGCGCGAGGCGGCTCGCCGGCGGCGTCGCCTCGCTGTTGTGGTCGTCCAGCGAGCGGGGCGAGAGCGACGAGAGGCAAGACTGCGTGTTGGCCGGCTCGCTCGGCTCCACCGCGCGTCCATCATCGAGCACCGTGTCTGCATGGCTTGACGAATCGCTCGAGTGACTGGCGAGCGGCGCAGCTCCCTCGGCCTCCGCGGCGTGCGGCCGCGTCTCGGAAGTGGCCGAGATGGTGGACCCCACGCGCCGCAGCGTGAGCGACAGAATCGACTGCTCGCGTCCGCGCCGCTTGCGCTTCATCGCCACGCGCACCGGCTGTGCGTCGTGGAAGATCTCGTCAAAGTCCGGATCCAGCTGGCCAGAGGCGGCCGAGCGCTGCGACTGCTCGCTGAGCGCCAGGGATGGCGCGCCCGAGCTCGACGACAGCTGAGAGCCGCTCGCACCAGGAACGACGCTGGTGCGCCAGTTGAGCACGCGCTGCTCGTGCTCTGCCTTGGCGGCGTGCCCGCCTACCTCGTGCTGATAGTCGCGCGAGGAGAGCGAAAAGGCAATGATGCTCAGCGGCTCGTCCTCGCGCACGACGTGGCGCGAGCCGGGAAAAGTGTGGAGGCCTCGCGCAAAGTATTCTGGCTCGTCGAACTCGAGCGGGCCGAGAGTGAGAAGCTCAGCCTTGGTGAGGTGCTGCAGGGTGTGTGTCAGTAGTGTAGAGCCATTCGGGTAATCTGCGGCACCCACCTTGCGCGCCCAGGCGTTCAGGCGGTTCTTTGCCGACTTGGCGCGATCGTTGAACGCCTTCCGAACGTCGTTGACGATGTCGGCTGCAGAGCAGGCGTCAGACCACGATCCTCCAATGTAGCGCGGCATCATTTACCGTCTGTCTCTTTCAGCGAGTCGTAGAGGTCGAACTCGTGGCTGGTCAGCGATAGGCGCAGCTTGTTCAGCAGCGACAGCGGCTCCATGGATGCGCTGCCCCACGAGCCAGAGTCCAGCGTCGGCGTAGTTGGATCGCCGAGAAAGTCAGTCTCTGAGGCCTTGCTCAGACTCTTGGGCGGCTTGATGGTGCGGCCCTTGTCGTCGAGCTCGCGCGCCACAAAGAGATGCTCCAGGCTCGTGATCTGCGCCTTGACGGTGGTGAAGAAGTTCTGGATCTCGAGGCGCGTCTTGTCGAGCAGAGGCGCGGTGCGCGAGCCCCCGGTCCGTAGCGAAGCTGAGCCTTTGGCGCCGCGCGATGCCTTGTCGCTCTTCTGGCAGAAGATCGAGGGACCCTCGATGGCCAGCTGGTACACCGTGAGCGGCTGCGTGGAGATTTTCACCAGTACTCGTCCCATGCGGAAGGCGCGGACGAAGTCGTGGCGCTGCGCTGCCTGCAGCCGCTTGAGCACGACAGCCTGCGCCGCTGGCACGCCATTCTGTAGCGCCGGGTGGTACAGTAATGCCTCGAGGTACCGGGCAAAGGACATGAGGTACGTGGCCTGAGTGCGGAGTCAGCATCATCGATGCGCATCGCGGTCGCGCAATGGCTCACCTGGGGCATGAGGCGCGCCTTGGTATGCTCGCCGCTCCGCGCATCGACAGTCCACATCCACAGGCCATGCCGCTGCGACGTGAGCTGGCCTGTGGCAGCCTTGACGCCGCCCTCGATGGCAGACACGGCCGTGTCGGCCGCGGCAACAGCGGCGCGTGCGCTGTCCGCCTCCATGTGCAGCGCCGCGACGATGGCCGCCACGTCCTCCTTCTCCTCGGTGGCCGCTTGTACAGCAGCACTTTCGTTCTCAGCATCTTCGCGCAGCAGCTCGGGCGGCAGCAGCTGGGCAATGACACTGACGCGCTGCTGCCCGTGCGTGTAGTGAATCGCATGGCGCTGCGGCGCCAAGGTGGACGGAGCTTCGCTGCTGCTGCTGAGGCGCGGCTGCGCCGTGCGTGTCGCACGCTCGCTCTCCTGCTGCTTGACGCGTGCACACATCTCTTCGATGAGCTGGCCGAGCGGCACGTCGCGTGCTTGCCCTTCGCGCGCATAGAAGCGCACCTCTTCGCGCGCGAGGCTCTGGTCGCTTGAACAGCCAGTCGGGCCGACGTGGCTGGACGAAGACGGAGCGGCCGGGACAGCGCCAGCCGTGCCCTGCGCCACATCGTGGTGCTTGGCAAAGCCGACCAGCGTAGATCCCTCGACGAGGAAAGGGAGATGTTGGGCAGCTTTGAAAGCCTGTGCGTACGCTGCGCCCGTCAGGCTCTTGTCGGCGTCGGCCTTCCACAGCGCCGCCAGCTCGGGTGAGGTCGTGAGCGGCGCCGGACCCAGCCGTGCCGGGACCGGCGCGGGCACAATCGCGGGTGAAGGCAGTACCTTCTCTGGCAGTGAAGGCGCGCGGCGGCGTGCTGCGTCCGGCGTCTCGTCCTGCTCGCCCTTGTCGTCCTCCTTCAGGGATGCCCAGCGAGACGCATGCTCGGCCTCGCTGCTCGCAGCCGACGTGCCTTTGCTGAGGCTCGAAGTAAAGAGGCGGCCCAGGCGAGCGACACCATAGCTCGACTCGTGCGGCGTGCCAGTACGTGACTGGCGGCTGGCGCGCGAGCCGAGGGCACTGCCACTCCCGCTGTCCTCACGAGTGCGTGAGCGCGGGAAGCCGATGCTCGAGCGCACCGAGGTAGGGCCCGGTGAGCCTTCGGCAGTCGGCACACGCTCGAGCATGCCGCTCGCGGAGCTCTTGTGCGCGTGTCGACTTCCACCCTCAGCCCTAGACGGCCCTCGCAGTGCCGCACTGACAGCCTGGCCCACGCCCCAGAAGCCCGCGCCCCAGCGGCGCGGCGAGCGCAGCTCGTCGGTGACAGTGATGTCCGAGTCTGCCGTCGACGCATCGGACGGCTCGCGCGAGCGGAGGTCGTGCGCCAGCGACGATGTGCGCGGACGCGGCACGACGGGCTCTGTCGCCGGCTGCGGGCGTGGTGCGCCTACTGATGCAAGCAGCGCAGCTTCGAGCAGCATCGACGTGCCGGCATAGAGCTGGAGCTAGCGGTCAGCAAAGTTCGGCGATGCGGCTCGCATCCTAGCTCACCAGAATCTCGAGCGCCTCTCGTGTCCACTTTGCCTCTTCGTCGTCTTTGAGGTACAGCACAAGAGTGCCGCCCACGCGTCGTACGCGCGTCTGATCGGACGCGCCCTGCCCACCGCGATTTGCAGGTCCATCGCCCAGCAGCTCCGGCCCATCAAAGATGCCATCGTGCCACTCCACGAGCGGCGGTGGCCCTGCAGTGTCATTGTCCTCGAGCGCTGCGCCGCGGCCCCGCATGGTGCGCTCGCCGTGGCCGACATGCGTGCGCAGACAGACGCGCGCCACGCAGACGCGAGCTGCCGCTGAGCACTGCGTGCCCACACGCTCGAGCCACTCGCGATTGGCGCGTTCGAGCGCCTCGGTCTCGGCCTGCGCTGCGGCGTCGAAGCTGACGGGGCGGGCAGAGCTGGCGTGCGAAGCGAGACTGGTGACGCTCGGACGTCTTGATGGAGCGCGCGACGTGCCGCGACTGCTCGCGGACCCCTGGCTCTCCGCGCGCACAGCGGCGGCCAGGGACGCACCGGCCGCTGCGCTGAGCGAGGCCATGGCGCGACTGCTGCCGGTGCTGTGAGGCAGCGGCGAGGGGCCTGGTCGTGCTGCCGCAGTCTTCGGCGGCGATGGTGGAGTCGAGCCATTGCCGCCAGTGTTCAGTGCCGTTGTGGCTGTCGGCCCTTTCATGAGCAGAGCTGGTGCCGCACCTTTGTTCTTGCTCGGCTTTGCTGCCTCCTTGGCGGCATCCTCTGGCACGGCTGGCGCTGGTGCCGGCGGCTCGCTCGACGGCTCTGTCGGCGGCACAGTCGGGAGCGGAGAGTAGGAGCGCACGAGCCACGCAGCGTTGGCCAGCATGCGCACCGCCACATCGCGCTTGCGGACGCGAGCCTCTCCCTCTGGCCCCGGCGCACGCGGCCCGGGCGCAACGATGTCCTCGTCGTAGCGTGGGCCCAGAAAGCTAGCAGCGGTCATGACGCTCGGGCTGGATGCGCCTAGCGCTGCCCAAGGTAGACGAGGCCAGCGGCTCGACGAAGGTGCGGGCGTGGCGCCAATCGAAGCGGCGCGCAGCGACTCCTCGGCGCGCCAGCGCATGGCGGCGGTGCGTTGGAGGGCGCTCAGCGTGTCAGGCGCAGAGAGACTCTTGCATGCAGCAGCGACGGCATCGAGCAGTGCGGCCGAGAGCTCCTGCGAGTGTGCCTGTGTGCTGCGGCCTGCGTCGTCCTCGTCGGGCGCCAGGTGCGCGAGGATCTGACGCAGATGCTCCATCGACTGCGCATCGAGGCCTGCGCCAGTCTGCACGTCGTCCGGCTCGTCTGGCAGCGGTTCGCTCTCCGGCAGCTCTTCGGGCAGCCAGGCGAGAGCACGCAGGCCGGGCGGCGAGGCGCTGCGCACGGGCGCGCCGAGCAGCTGCTCCTGCTCCTCGATGCCCGGCGCCAGCGCGCCCGGCAGCTCGGGCAGCGGCTTGCGGATGAGGCGGCGGCGCGTCGGCAGGCTGAGCTCGATGGCGGCGCGGCGCGCGCGCGCAGAGACGCCGCTGGTGCTGTCGAGCGACACGTCGCCCACGTCGTCGTCGTGCAGGCACGAGGCGGTGGGTGTGGAGGGCGAGGCGAGTGCGCCGGATGGCGAGCTACTGCTGCTGCTGCTGCTGGCGTGCGCCTCGCCCTCGCGCAGGTGCGCTGTGCGCGAGGGGCGCGGCGTCTCCAGCGACATCGCAGGCCGGGCAGAGCACAGGGCGAGGTGGTGGTGGTGATGGGGCAGGTGCGAGCACGGCCCCTGAGCGCGTGCGGGAGGCGGCTGCGGCGCTGCGCCTCATGCACGCCCGGGGCGCGGGGCGCGCGCGTGGAAGCGCATGCCGCTCCCGCCTCTCTGCCGCCTCTATCGAGAGCTGCCCCTCTGGTTTCTCCTTCGACAGAGCGCAGTCAGCGCACCAGCTAGCTGACTCTCCATTCAGGTGCGTCGCGGCGCTCTGGCCTACCTGCGGCCGGCGGCAGATGTCTCATCGTCACAAACAGACCGTGGGACCGTGCGCGCCGCGCGCGCGGCGCCTCCTCTCGAGCTCCGCTCTCGGTGTTGGTTTCGCGCGCGCTTGCGCCTCTTTCGCGATCCGCCGCGAGGCGCGACTCGTCCTTCGCTGGCCAGATGCTGCGCCTGGCATCACATCTTGCGCAAGAGGAAGCGCCGGAGAAGACGCACAACGCCGATGAGCAGACATGCCGAGCGCGCTGCCACGAGTCGTCGAGGCGCTGAGGCGGCAGCGCTGCGGGCGCGGACGCATCGTGAGTCTCCTTTGCAGCGTCGAGCCAAGCTCGCACTCGTCCGTCTACCCTCGAGCCGTGCTGTCTGCCTCACTCTGCAGGCTGGGCCCTGCGCAGGCGCATAATCTGTGCTCGCGAGCCAGCGAGGTGCACCACCCAGACTGTCCACCCCACGGCCTCCTTGGGCGCCGCTCTGCGGTGGGCCACGGTCGGCAGCCCCATCGGCGTGCCGCGCGCCTGCCGGCTGGCGCCCACTCCTCGCTTCTCCTCCCTCCTGCCTTGCCTTGCCGTCGAGTTTCGCCGCTGCCGCCGCCGCCGCCAGCCGACGTGTGCTCAAAGCTCGTCTCGAGCCCCTTTTGCACGCCCCGATGCGCAGCCAGAGCGGCAGATGGCCTGAGCTGGCATGCGCAACGGCCGCGGACCCCCTGCAGCGCCCAGCAGCCGCGAGCGGCGCACCAACACAAGGCACACGAGCACGCGACGCGCGCCAGCGAAAGCCACGCGCGCGCAGGAGCGATGCACGGCAGCATCAGCAGGCACAGGCAGGCGGGCAGCGCTCAGCACTTCTCGATATCGATTCGACGTTTGGACCCTGGACACGCCGCAGTTCTGAACTGCGCTCCTGCTCCTGTCAGCGGCTGATCCGCACTCGCTCCATAAAGAGCCACCGCCGCCCGCTCGCCGCCGCTCTCCTCCCACCACCACCCCCATCCCGTCCGCACGATGCCGCAGCCCGCCGCCGTGCCGCTCTTCGAGCCGCGCCTCGGCAGCGCCCTCCACATCCGCCAGGCGCGCCATCTCGTCGTGCACGCCTCGCACCTGCCTGCGCCCGGCGGCGGCTCGCTGCAGGCCTGGCACAGCGCCGCGGCCAGCGACGCCGCTGCCGGCGGCGACTCCAGCGCCGAGTGGTCGGCGGTGCCCTTCGTGGCCGCGCCGCACAGTTCGGGCGCCGTCGCGCGCGTGCCGCTGGCCGACGACGCCGAGACGCGCATCACCTATCGCCTGCTCGCCGACGAAGGCAGCGTGACGTGGTTCGGCGACGAGCACTCCGACATCCGCGTGCACAGCAGCAGCAGCAGCAGTAGCGGGGCGGCGTCGCTGCCGCTGCTGCGTGACGTGCTGCACACCGAGCTGCAGCTCGTCGCCGGCGAGGACGGCGTGGCGCGCCTCACTGCGCCCGCTGGACGCTCGCGCTTTGCCGCAGTCGATGGCGTCTCGCAGGTCATGGCTCTGGAAAGCACACAGTGAGTGTGCCAAAAGCTTCTTGGATCTGACCTGCTGACGCTGTGTCAGGCGCACATGGCACACTTCGCGTCTGTGCGCTCCAGCAGAGCTGTCGTCCGAGACAGAGGCGCCGGTGCTTCTGCTGCGCCTAGAGCTGCCGAGTCCAGCGGTGCTCGTCCTCGTCGCCTTGTCCGACACGCAGGCCTCGTCTGGTCTCGTCAAGGCCCACGGCCCGCACAGCAGCGCCTTGGGTCTCGACATCATCGCCTCGCCCACCCTCGGAGCTCAAGCACAAGGCACGGTCCTCGCAGCGCTCTGCACGCCGTCTGACATGCAAGCCACTGTCTCGCGCGTGCTGGACGCCGCGCGGGTGCATCTCATCCAAGCAGAGCAGCTGGCATACAGCCTGCGTCCGCGTCTCTCTGCGCCAGTCAGCCCGGACCGCCTCAGCGACAGCGGCGTCTTCTGCGACGAGAGCAAGGACAGCGCGTCAGGAAGCACCGCTGAGCCCTCAGAGGCAGGCGACGAGCCACTTGCGACTGGTGCACGCAGCCCTGCCGACGAGCTGCCAAGCCCGACACTGACAGGTCCGGGACCTCTGGACGCGAGCCGAGGACTGGCGCTGTGCACGTGGGAGGCGCTGTCGCACCAGCGGCCGTACTTGTCAATGGTGCTGGACGCCCTCGCCGCGCTGGAGGAGCGAGCGCCGGGCGCCACAACTGCCCTGCTGCTCGACGACGGTTGGGCGTGCACCAGCAGCTCTGGCTTCGGGCGCGGCCGTCTCGATGCTGCTTGTCTCGACCCGGCGCTGCTGGACGCGCCGGCGCCTGAAGACCCCGACGCGCTGGCCAGCTACATCTCGGCCGTGCACGAGCGCTTCCCAGCGGTGCGCGACTTTGGCGTCTGGCTCACGCTCATCGGCTACTGGGACGGCGTTTCGGCGGAAGAGTACGGACCGCTGCAGCGCGCCACGCTGCAGGGACCCGATGGCCCCTGTGAGGCACTCCTGCCGGCGATCGAAAGCCTCGACGCCTTCTGGGACAAGACGCTCGGCGGACTTGCGGAGGCCGGCGTCACGTTCGTCAAGCTCGACGCGCAAGGCGAGCTCGCCAGCATGCGCCTCGAGGGCTCCTCGAGCTTCGGCTCCGAAGAGGCTCTCTACGTGCGGGCGGCGCAGCGCGCCTTCGACACAGCAGCGAGCCGGCATCTCGGACCGAACGCAGTTATCCACTGCATGGCGATGGGCAAGGGTCAGCCAGCGTCACTCCGTGCGCTGGCTCCAGCAAGCACAGGCCAGTGGCGCTCGACGGACGACATTGTGCCTGGCCACACCGACGCCGCTCGCTGGCTGCTCGTGCACGCCGCACGCATCGTGATGCTTTTCGACGGCTCTCATCAGCCCGACGCCGACATGCTCTGCACGAGCAATGTGGGCGCCCTCGAGGCGCAAGCGCAGGCTCGCTTCCGCGCCGTGTACTCTGGCGCGCGCATCTTCACCTCCGACCGTGCCAGCGCCGAACGCGAGGCTGCAGATGCGCTGCAATCTCTTCTTGCGCCCACGCGCAGCAAGTCCGGCATCATCGCAGCGACTCGACCCCTGCAGGCCCAGGACGCAGCGCGCCTGTTGCCTGGCTCCATGTGGGAGGACGTCACCTCGAACGCCGACGGAGCCGCGCTGGTTGTGGCTCAGCCTCGGCAGCTGGCTGAGCAGGTTGCCGTCAGCAGCATCGCCGCCTTCAACGTGCGCGCGGGAGATGCAAGCACCGTTGGCACGCTCCGGACTTGCGACATCGCAGACGCCCTCGCCGGCAGCTCAGCGCACGACGTCGCAGTGTGCGACGCCAGCTGTGAGGACTTCGCCGTCGTCACCCAGGCAGAGCTGGCCGCCCAGTCCGATCGCCTCGGCTGCGCGCCCGTGCTGCCGATTCGACTGGCGGTTGGCGAGAGCAGGAGCTGGAGTGTTGCCCCGCTGCTCGCCCTCGGCGACGATGTGCAGGCTGCGTGCCTCGGTCTCAAAGACAAGTACCTGCCGCTTGCGGCGCTGCGCTCGCTGCGCACATCCTCAGTGCAGGCCAAGCCGCAGACGCTCTCTCTCGTGCACAGCGCACCGACATTCCAGGGCCTCAGCCCCTCGGCCATTCTGCTGGCCGTCATGCTCATCCTGACGAACACGCTGCACGCCATCTCGTCGCACTTCATGCTTCTGGCGCCGCTACGCCGCATCCTGCTGCTGGTGCAGACGCAGCTGGCCCGCCGTGCTTCCGTCGTGCCGGCACAGCTGCGCGACTCGCACGTCGTCGTCGACCGCCAGGAGCGCTCCCTGGCGTTGCGCTCGGCCCCGCCGACGCAGAGCGCCAAGCGCCAGGAACTCGTGGCGCTCGTCGACCGTGCTGGCACGCTCGTGTTCTTCCTCTCGCGGGCGGCTACGCCGCGCATCACGATCGACGACGTGCCCGTCTCTCTCTCGCACATCACCACCCGTGCCGTCGCCGCGGGCCTCGTGGTGGAGCTCGACATGCTCGCTGCCTGTGCGGCACCTGAAGTTGCGTCGCAGTCGCGCGCCGACTGCTGCTGGGAGGTGCGCCTCTCGCTCGAGTAGTCTTACGTCTGCCGCCTCTCAACCCCTATCATGACTTGCAACGACGTGCCTTGACGATGACTGCCGCGAGCTCGGCCGCTCGGAAATGTGTGAGGCGGAAGCTACGGCGGCGATGCCCCGAGCGCACGTTCGCGTCGCGCTTCGCATGCAGGCACGCCGGAGGCGCGCGGGCGAAAGAAGGATGCCGCCGGCGAGGCGGCGCCAAGGGTGCGCCGCCGGCGGCTCGGCGCCGCACGCGGCGCGCTCGCTCACCCTTCCATCGTCCAGACGTGCAGAGCCCTGCAGCTCCTCAAGACGCCCGGCGACTGCCAGACGCAGAGTCGCCTTGCGGTCTGCGTCCGTGCTGCTCTTCGCCGGGCACACCACCACTAGACGTGCGCATGTCTTGCGGACGCCGGGCGCCGGGCCGCGAGGTATAAAGAGAGCCACACCGAGCCTGCGACGATGCAGCCACCACTCAAGCTCTTTACGATGCAGCTCTGCACACTCCTGACCCTGGTCGTGAGCCTCGTGGCCGCCGCACAGCTGCCGCTGGTGCAGGCGCAGCGCATCGGCGATGTCGACGGCGACCGGGCGCTGCACGCTGGCCTGCCGCCGCACATCTTCCAGCAGATGGGCCAGTACAGCCCGCGCTACCTCGTCGGCCATGACAGCCAGATGGCGCCGCCCGGCTGCAAGGTCGACGTCGTCAGCACCCTCGAGCGCCACGGCGCCCGGCACTTCACCGACGGCGCGCTCAAGCGTGCAAAGGCGACCGTCACCAAGCTGCAGGCGTCGCTCAAGACGGCCCAGCGTGTGCCGCCCGAGATGGCCTTCATCCTCGACGCCCAGCTGCAGAAGGAGACGTCGTCGCTCGTGCCCTACGGCGCGCTGCAGGCCTGGTATTCGGGCAAGACGGCCGCCGCCACGTACCCCGAGCTCGCACGCAGCACGCCCTTCGTTCGCGGCTCCGGCGACGTCGCCAGCGGCAACGACCGCGTGATCCTCACGGCGCGCTACTGGCGCCTCGGCTTTGAGGGACACCCGTTCCCGACAGGCAACATTTCCACTTCGGACCAGGTGCGCAACGCGCCGAACCTGCCGCAGACAGACCTCGACATCTCCGAGCTCCCCGGCAAGAACAACACGCTCGACGTGAGCACGTGCACGGCGGAGAACAACCTCCCGGCCAGCCAAGGCGAGGACGGCGCGCAGGCGCGCTACGGCAACTCGACGGTGCTCCCGACGATTGGCGCACGCCTGCAAGAGGTGCTGCAGCGGGCGGGCGCCGGCGCCGTGAACCTCACGTACACAGACGTGCTGAACATCGGCAATCTGTGCTCGTTCGAGACGCTCGGCCGCGCCAGCGTCGTCGACGGCCAGCTGCGCCTCGACGGCGGGCGCATCAGTCCGTGGTGCGGCATCTTCCGCGACAACGAGTGGAGCATCTACGGCTACGCCAACGACGCCGGCAAGTACTACGGCGCCGGCTACGGCAACCCGTTCTTCAAGGCCCTCGGCGAGGGCTGGATCCGCGAGCTGTTTGCGCGCTTCGAGTCACGTCTGCCAGCGCCGGGCGCCAGCCTGAACTCGACGCTCGACGGCTCGTCCGCGGTGAGCCCTTCTCGCATCTTGACGGCCAGAGCAGCCTGCTGACTCGCTCGCTCGGCAGACCTTCCCGGTGCCGGACCACACGCGCGTGTTCTTCGACGGCACGCACGACAACAGTGAGTCGCTGAAGCCGCCTCTCCTCCAGCCCAGCACTGACACTTCGCTAGACATCGGTCCGATTGCCGCCGCCTTTGGCCTCTTTGACGGGCCAAAGCTCTCGACGGACTTCCACGCCGAGCGTGCTCCGCACCGCTGGGTCTTCTCGCAGATCGGCCCGCTGCAGGGCAAGATCACCTTTGAGAAGCTCTCGTGCGCCGGCAGCCGCTCGCCGTACCTCCGCGTGCGCGCCAACGGCGCCGTGCAGAGCCCGCGCGGCGCCTCGTGGTGCCCGCGTCCGGACGCACGCGCCGCTCAGGGCCTCTGTGCCGTCGACGTCGTCCACAAGGCGCTCGCATTCGTAAACTCAAACGAGGAGTGGGCCAAGTGCGACGCATGAAATGACGTTGCCTGCCATCAGGCCGCGGCAGCTTGGAGCAGGGCAGCCACGCGCTCGTCGATGTCGGCCGCCATGTCGTAGCGGTTCATCTCGGCAACCGTGAGCTTGTCCTTGCGGCCCGCAGGCTCGTTGGGCGCCAGGCTGCTGAAGCCGATGCGCTCGTTGAGGTCCTCCAGGCTGACGATGGGGTGAGCAAGGCGTGTTGAACGGGCCGCGCCTGCACTCACGCGCGAGCACTGGCATCCTGAACTTTAGTGGCGCGAGGCTTGCGCACCTGCTCGTACAGCGCGAGGCCCTTGACAATGTCAGTCGTGAGGCCGGCTTCGGCGTGCTTGCGCGAGAAGATGAGGCCGAGCGCCGCGGCGTCCTCAAGTGCCTGGCACGCGCCCTGCGACTGGTGCGGCATCATCGGGTGCGCCGCATCGCCGAGCAGCGTGGCGCGGCCCTGCGACCAGAACGGGTACGGCTGGTGCACGAAGAGCACCCAGGGGCGGCGCTCGATGGACGCGCGCAGCAGAGTGACGACGCGCGGGTCCAGCGTGGCGTACTGGCCCGCAAGCAGGTCGTCGATGGCTGCCTCGCCCCACGTGAAGCCCTCCTCGTGGTGGTTGGACTGCTCCGTGGGCATGAAGCAGTAGAAGCTGCAGCGAGCGTGAGGAGCGCTGGGCGTCCGACACGCTGTGCGACTCACCTGAGGATCTCGCCGCCTGCGCACGGCGACATGACGATCTTGTAGTATTGCCACACTGGCGTTAGTGCTGAAGAGTGAATGCGGGTCGAAGCATCTCACCTGGCTGAGGCCAGGCACGCCCGGATAGCCACCCCAGAATTGGATGGCGGGATCGTTGGCCCAAGCCAGGCCGAGCGCCTCGACCTCCTCGCGCGAGACATTGCAGCGGTAGCACGTCTGCGGCGCCGGGCGCGAGTCGGGCACGATGCCGAGCGCCGAGCGCAGGGCCGGGGGGATGCCGTCGCTGCCGATGATCATGTCGGCGCTGATGTGCTCGCCGTTGGCGAAGCTGGCGGAGCCGGCGGCGGCGTCGAGGGAGACGAGCGTGTAGCCGGTCAGAAGCTTGGCGGGCGGACCAGCGCCGTCTGGAGAGGTCGCTGCGTCCAGGAGCATCGCATGCATGTCCTGGCGGTGGTACCTGGCGGCCCCTCGTCAATAAGGGCCTGCGCTTGCGGGCGGAACCTATGCTCACATCGCGTACTCGCATCCCCATTCGCTCTTGTATCCCTTCAGGTCGTACTCGGCACGCACGTCGCCGCTCTGCCACTCGCGCATGGTGAGCTTGAGGAGCGTGACGGGCTTGCCGGCGGCCGTGTCGACGTCCCAGGCCTTGAGCCAGCGTGCGCCATTCGCGGCGCAGGACAGCGACGCGCCGACTTCACCGGCTGCAGAGCGACGCTCGTAGATGGTGCACGCGTGGCCCTCGCGGCGCAGTGCGACGGCGGCGGCGAGGCCACCGATGCCGCCGCCGACGATGGCAACGTTGAGCGGACGCCAGGCGAGCGTGGTAGCAGGCATGCCGTGCGGAGGTGTGGTGAGGAAGAGACGGTGGTGCCGGCTGCTTCGTCAGGGCCGAGGCGTCGCTTCTTAAGTGCGTGCTCGCGGCCGATAAGCCAGGCGCGAGCCCATGTCCAGGCTGTAGTGTGCTGCTCAGCCGCAGCTGCAGCATGGCTCGACGCGAACACGGCTGCCAGATCTCTTGAAGCCGTCCGAGGCAGGCAGAGAGAGGATGGCGCAGGCTTGGCGGCGTGCTCGCAGCGCGGTGCTCCCACGCAACGCTCGGCGGCCGGCTCTCCGCGCGGCCCGCAGTCCGTCGTGTCTTCCTCGACCGGCGTTGGCTTATCATCTGCATCCTCCGGGTGCCGCCTCGTGCTTGCACGTGGTCGTCATTGATCAGTCTCACCTTCAGCACAGCCCTCGGGACCATGCGGTCAGCCCCAAGCTGCCAAGCGGCAGTTGCACTGCTTACGCTGCCGAGGCCGCACCCAACGCCATGGTCGGCTTCTGCAAGTGCATTGCGGGGTGGTAACCGCCTCTTTGTGCGACGTCTTGCACCCCGCATCTTCGCCTAGATGATTCGGCTGAGAGACGGCCGAGCTTTGAGGCCTCTCGAAGCGGCAGCGCAGCTGATGAATGTCTGCTCGGAGAGCCCCTGAGATCTTCCACGGCGGCGCGCCGCAGACTCAGGGGTCACTTCCTCGAGAAGCGCGGCCGCCCCGCTTCGAGCGACGGGCGCAGTGAATGTACCTCGACGGCGCTGCAGGGGTGCAATGAGCCGGCAATGCCGCCCTGATGCATGGGCCACGCCGCCTGATGCCGCCGTACTTGAGATCAGCGCTGAGCTCAAGCCTGGAAAGCGACCACGAGCACACCGCCGCCTTCCTCCCAGCTCAAGACTCACATTTCACGGCCACGCCTGCCACGCGACACCCACCGCGCTTCACCATTCCTTCCATCACCATGCGAGCGGTGCGGGCGGCCAAGGCGTACGCGCGCGAGATCATCGAGCGCTGCCCGCGCATGGAGATCGCCGAGCTCGAGACGGCGTACGACACCCTCAGCGTGCAGTGAGTGCAGTGAGCACAGTGCACAAGGAGATGGCTGCCTTCCGCAGAGCCAGCGCTGCCGGCAGCTCGCTGACGCTCGCTTCGCTGCAGCCTGCGCGAGATGGAGGAGTACATGAGCGAGGAGCCGCCGCACAAGGCCGTCACGCGCCTGCTGTACGCGCGGCAGGACGTCAGCGAGCGGCTGCACCGTCTGCGCCAGGCGCGCACGCAGGCCAAGGGCAGCAGCGACGAGCTGCAGAAGCTGCGTCTCTTCTTCGAGAGCTGCATCGACCAGCTGGCGGGCGAGAACCACGCGCTGCGCGAGCGCGTGCTGGCGCTCGAGCGCGGCAGCGGCGTGGTCCAGCAGCTCGGCATCGGCGCTGGCGCCAGCAGCAAGCAGGCCGAGGCGCAGCTGGAGAAGCAGCAGGACCTCGAGCTGCGCCTGCAGGTCGTCGAGAACACGGTGCAGGGCCTCTCCGACGTCGTCTTTGCCGAGCGTGCGGCGCCGCCGCCGTTCTTTGCGCGCTGAGGCGAGCGCAAGGCGGTTGCGCAGGGCGACAACTGGCGAGGTACGCTGTGTATGGTCAATGCTACATTTGGGCACGGTCTTGCGCGGCGTGTGGCGGTGGTGAGAGGCTGAGTGGGACGTTGCGCTGCCGCTGCAGCAAAGCTGCCTGTCACGCCTTCGCGCGCTGCAGCGGCCCAACGCAGCGAGATCGGCCTTTGGCATGTGCCGGCTTTGCCGAGCACGCACACATGCATGCATGCATGCCTCCCGCCTCCACCACGGTGATCTGCGTGGGGCAGCATGCAGCGTCTGAGGTCGCTGCGTGCTCCTGTCCGTCAGACCATCATCCATCCGCAGCCTTCTAGCATGCTCACTCTGCACCACCTCGAGGCGTCGCGCTCCATCCGTGTGCTGTGGTGAGCTCGTCAGCGCATGCTGCAGCCCCTGCATCTGCATGCTGCCGCGCACGCGCCGCCTGCGCTCTCGCACTCACTCCGCTCTCGCCCGCAGGCTGCTTGAGACGCTCAACAGTGAGCTGCCGCTCCATGCTTGGCACTCGCCGCCTCGCCTGACCCCTGCGCAGCGCCCTACGAGATCAAGCACTACGCCCGCGACCCCAAGACGCGGCTCGGCGTCGATGCGGCCTTCTCCGGCAAGGGCCTGGCGGCGGTGCACCCGCTGGCGCGCTCGCCCGTGCTGACCGACGGCGAGCTCGTCATCTCCGAGACGGGCGCCATCTTCCAGTACCTGCTCGCGCACTACGGCGGCGTCGACATTGCCGCCAAGACGCAGCAGGCGCAGGAGCTGAGCTTCTGGCTGCACTTCTCCGAGGCGTCGTTCATGCTGCACCTCATGCCGCTCCACTACGCCAACCGCGCCGGCGTGCTCACCGACGACGGCAGCTCGGCGTGCGTGCTGCGTGCGACACGCTCGGATCTGCAATGCTGACGCCCGCCGCAGCCAGGAGGCCATCATCGCGCGCGGCCTTAAGGTCGACATCGAGTACATCGAGCGCACGCTGCGTGCCAACGGCGGCTCGCTGCTTGGCGGCGGCATCGGCCCCGCGGATGTGAGTGGCCGATAGAGGGGCCCGTGCGGCGCATGGGGCGAGCGCTTGATGAGGCCATCTTCTTGCTCTCCTCCGCCGGCACTCTCATCCGTCGCTCACGCTTCTGTGCATAGATCTGCAACATCTTCGGCCTCGAGATGTTCGCGGCGATGACCGGAGCACGCAGCGCGGCATGGCGTGAGAAGCTGGGCCTCGCCGTGGGTCCGGAGATCCAGAAGTGGCTGGAGCGCTGCGCCGCGGAGCCGGCGTACAAGGAGGCGCAGAAGAAGGAGGGCGACTGCAAGGAGGCCTTGTACGTCAGCAAGCTGTTCAAGCAGCCTTCCTAGGGGCCGGAGCCGCCGAGCTGCGCTCCAACAGAGCGGCACCGGGCAGGCGGGCTGCAATGGCACGATGCTTTCTCATTCGTCTCTGCGCTGGCCGGCGAGTGTCCCGCCGCAGCACTCCGGACGCCGCCCAGGACGGCGGCTTGCCTCCTGAGCTCGATGGCTGCGAGAGAGTGCTTCGAAAGCGCGCCAGGTGAATCGCAGAGCCCGACACTGCATGCGTGCCTGCTGCGGATGAGGCGAGCAAGACGCTGGTGAGCCGCCGCGCCGAAGGCTTGATGACACCTCCTTGTCCAGCGCCAGTCTACGCAGGCGGCAAAGAGGGCGCCCTGAAGAGCACCGCAGCGCCGACGTTGCGGTCTCTCACTCCACCACCCCGTCGCCATGCACCACGCTCTCGGCGAGGCATGGCTTGAGGCGCACCGCAGCGCCGGCTGGCCGCCCAGATCGACACACCACGTCGTGTCAGAGGCCAGCCTGCAGCACACGGCTCGCGGCAGCTACGCTACGGTGCACGTCGTGCCCGGCACAGATGTGAGTCGTGCCCGAAGCTGCGCTGTCCGGCTCGTCTGACACTCGCCGCGCAGTATACGCTGCGCTGGTGTCTGGCGCCGCCGAAGTCTCCGGCGTCGGCAAATCCGCATCTCAGTCTCGCGAGCCTCAAGCTCAACGGCGTCGAGACGGGCCAGCGACTGCTCGGCAACCGCGCCTCGCATCTCGACTCGAAGCTCGCCAGCATCCTGCACCGCGCGCTGCTCGCGGGCCCGGCGCTGCCCTCGCGCGTCTTTAGCAGCGACGAGCTCTCGTCCGAGCCGCTCTCGCTCGCCAGCGAGGAGCGCGAGCCGGGCTTCGAGGCGCGCTACTCGCTCGTGCTGCGCATCTGGCGCCAGCCGGCCGTCGTGGCTCGCGCGCTCGACAGCGGCAAGCATGCCACGCTGCACGACATCATCGCCGGCACGACGCCGACGGTGTGCTTTGACTTTGTCTGCGTCCTCGACGCGCCGGCGCATGCGATCATCCCGCTGCCCATGCGCACGAGCACGCCCGAGCTGCTGTCGAGGCTTTCGCGCCGCACGTCCGAGGTCGACAAGGAGGAGGCGCGGCGCAGCCAGCTGCCGCACGCCGCCGCCAACTATCCGCAGCTGATTGGCCGGACGGGCCACCACCAGCTCACGTCGTCGCACTCGGCGTCGCCGCTCGGCGAGTCCCGCGCGCGCTCGCCGTCGCCGTCCGGCAAGCTTTGGTCGCGCTTCTCCGTGTCCAGCAGTGAGGGGCGGCGTTCGCGGCCCACGACGCCGAACAGCGAGTCGACGCAAGGCCGCACGCTGGCGCCAAATGACTTTTGCTGGCCGGTCCGACGGCCCGAGCCGAGTCTCCATTCGGGCTCCGCCTCCTCGCGCACAGAGACTGGCTCGCGCAGCAGTCGGCGCTTCAAGGCGCGCTCGCCGCGCACTTCCAACGCGAGCTCCGGTGCGCCACCCTCAAGCGTCGGCTCTGGCCCGCCAGCGCTAGCGGCCTTGTACAGCCCGTCGACGACGCTTGCGCACATGCCGCCAGATGCAGATGACGTCCTCGTCATCAAGGACCCGGCGCGTCTTTCGCGCGTGGTGGAGGCCAAGCCGCAACGTCGTGCTGCTTCGCCAGCGTCGGCGAGATCGTCGTGGCTGGGTGGCACGCTCGAGGGCATCGGCAATTTGGGCCGTCGTCGCAGTGCTGCCACAATTGCAGACAGCGAGAAGCCGCCGACAGGTCGTGCCACGCCAGAGCCGGTCTCCATCGCGCAAGCTCCGACTCGTCCGAGCCGTCGTCCGCCCACGGCCATGTCGGACGGCAAACGGAGCCCGTGGCAGCGTCTCCGCACCGTGACGTGCCACGCCGCCGAAGAGGAGGACTTCCGTGGCACGCCGGCGCTGCCTCGCTCGCACTCGGGCGAGTCGCTTGCGCAGTCGAGGCAGGCCAACTTACGCTCGGGCAGTCTGCCATCGACATCGGTCCGCCCTGTCGCGCCGAGGCCAGACTCACTGGCGCACTACGCTTCCGGGTCGCCAGGCCTGCGCGTGAGCACCTCTACGCCCGGGCGCCTGTCGCCTGCCGCGCTGCCGCGCACCCCGGAGCGGCCCGACTTTGTGACGGAGCTTGACGACATCGACGCCGAGCAGTCGAGTTTGCGAGGGCCAGGCAACTGGCAGCCGAGTCTTGGCGCGTTGACGGAGGCGTCTTTCGACTTGCCGACGCGCACCTTTCTGCCTGACGAGAGCGAGACGGAAATGGAGAGCGCGCAGTGGCACGCCGCGCCGGAAGATACGCATGACAGCGAGCTTCGCAGCGGCAGCTCGCTCGATGAGATGCAGGACGGCGAGCTGCGCAGCGGCAGCTCGAGCGACTCGACGTGGCGCTCGTCGCACTCGCACACGACGGAGGCGCCGCTCTACGCCGACGAGTCGCTTGCGTCGACCGCGTCGACCGAAGGCCCACTTGCCACCGTCGAGATCTACGCCGACCCGCCGGTGTACTACGCCAATCCGCACGTGTACGACGCAGACACGCTCTCGCCCATGCTGGAGGGTCTCTCGTGTAGCGACGAGCACGTCTCGCCAGTTGACGAGCGCACGTCTTTCTTCGAAGAGCGCGCGTCGTACGCCGAGACATTCGGCGGCCACACGTTCGGCACCGAGTACGCCCAGCGCTCGTACGCCGAGACGTTTGGCCACGAGCCAGCGCGCTCTCTGCGCGGCGTGGACGAGGAGAACGACAGCGAAGCCGGGAGCAGCGACTCCTTCTTGACGGCCGTCGCCTCGAGCCAGGACACGTGGACTGCCACGCGCGCCGAGCTGCAGACGAGCGTGTCGCACATCCAGTCGATGGAGGTGAGTGACGAGGATGCGACCCTTGACGCTTGCCGCTGAGCCATCCTCTCAGTCCGAGATCAACAACCTGCTCGTGCAGGAGGCATCGCTGCGCCGCGAGCTCGCCGAGCGTGCCGCACTCACGCAGGCGTGCCTCGAGTCGCACCGCGAGAGCGTCAAGTTCCTGACGGGCCGCCTCGAGTCGCCGCAGCCTGGTCGGCGCGACTCGCGCTCCTCTGCTCCGGGCTCGCCTCGCCCGACGTCGCCGCAGCCGGCGTCACGCCCCGGCGGCGTGCGGCCGCTGATGCTGCTGCGGACGGATTTGCCGCCGGCCACGCCGCTCTCTGCGCCGCCGTCGGCGAGCCACTTTGCGCGCCACGCTCGCTCGCCGAGCGGCCGCTCGTCGCCCAGCACCGCGCGCCTCTCGCTGTCTCCATCATCTGCCGGCAGACCGGAGCGCTGGAGCCGGCGCGAGGGCCTGCCGTACTCGCGGCCCACGCCGCACGCCGACGGCGACTCGCTCGACGGCCTTGACGCGATCTGACGAGGCGCCGATGACCCTTAACTTAAGCCTCTCCATCCTTTGCTGCGCATCCGTACCCTATCCGTAAACTATACACTGTCCTTGCTGCGCCTTCTTGCTTGTGGTGAGAAGAGGAAAGGGGAGGCTGGACCTTGCGGCGCCCTGCTGCCCAGCGCGCCGGGAGTCGGGCCGCAGCGGATGTGAACTTTTTTGGCGCGCGTCTCTCTGCGCCTCTCGCCTCGCGCCTTTTCCCTCTCATCCGCTCGCATCTCCACTCCCGATCCGTACACTCCCTGCCATGCCGCCAGCACGCCGCAGCAATGCTGCTGCCATCCTGCCGTCTGCCTCGCGCAAGCTCTCGCTTGATGCCGCACCACTCGATGCGCCGGCGAAGCGCGTGACGAAGGCGCAGTTGCCACAGGAGAGCGACGACGAGGACAGCGACGAGGCGCCCGAGGCGCAGAGCAACGAGGCGGTGCGCGAGAGCGTGGCGAAGCGGGTGGATGAGGAGCGCAGCGCCATCAAGAGGTAAGTCAAGGCGAGGGCGGAGATGTGTCGTGCGAGGCGCAGGTTGGGCGACCGTGCTGTGAGGACACAGGTCCAGGGTCCTACGTGCGACGCCACTCGGCCTTCAACGGCAGCGTATGGTGGCTTGCTAGCTCCAGTCCACGTCGCCTGGGACCAGTGATGGTCTCCCGCTGACACACCTTTCTCCAGCCAAAAGGCAGCTCGCGCTCGGGCTGCACAGGCGCGCGAGGCCGCCGCAGTGTCCAAGTCGAAGAAGCAAGCCAAGGCGTTCGCCGCCGAGGGTGCGCTAGACGATGCCGCTGCTTCGTCCTCTGCTCCGTCGAGCTCGGCTAGCCGGCTCGACCCCGCGCTCTTTGCCTCCGTCTTCGCCGCAGAGAAGCCGCTCGGCGGCGCGTCGAGCAGCGCACCAACCGCAAAGGAGCTCGAGGAGCGGCGTCGTGCGGCGCGAGAGGCCCGGAGAGAGGAGCGCGAGCAGCTCAAACGCGCAGGCGGCGTGGTGCGCGGCCGCGACGGCGAGCCGATGAAGCGCCTGAAGGACGGCCGGACCGTCGTGCGTGCGCTCGTGCCGCTCGAGTCCGAGGCGGCGTCCGACGGAGAGGAGCGTCTCGCTGCGCCGACATCAGGCCCGACCGCGCGGCCGGACGCCAAGGCACGCGCCTTCCTTAAGCGCAGGCTCGGCATGGCGGCCAAGGCCGAGGCGCCGGCGCAGAAGAAGAAGCCCAAGAAGACGACCGACGACCCGCTGGGCCTCGAGGACCCGGCCTTCATGCCCGGCGGCGAGTTCTACAAGGGCAAGAGCCTGACGGGCAAGCGGGCGCGCGGCGGCGGCGCAAAGGCGAAGCCCAAGGTGCCCGGTGCGCGCACCAGTGGTGAGTCGAGAGGTCGCGGCCTCGCCGCTCAGTCTGACCATGTCATCCCGCAGCCTCGCGTTCGCTCGGCGGCCCGCGTGGTGGACCTGCGCTCGCCTTCGCTGCTCCGCTCTAGCCATGTCACTTGATGCTTTGCGATGCCCACTCTCGACTGATGAACTCTCGTGACGGTGCGCGAGCGAACTGCTGGCGTGGTGATGGCGACGAGACGACGGCGTAGCGGCGCCTCTGCAGCGATCAACGCCGCGGCAGCGTGGCGATCCTCTCCGTGCTACCTTCAGTTCGCGCGCACGACAGCGATGCCCAGGGCGCCTGCCGAGCGCGACGGGAGCAACAGAGCATCAGCACTCGGCAGAGCTCTGGAGCCCGTAGCGTCGCAGCCAGCGACGTCACACAGTCACACGACGGAAAGCAGAGATGGACGTGATGGGCATTGAAGTGGCAGCGTGTAGCTACGTCTGAAGTAAGACGGTGACGACGTGGAGAGCTTGTTGTAGATAGGACGGCCGAGAATCAGGCTCGAGTCTGGCTGCGCGATCGGCGTATGGAGCAATGCAGCACTTCGCATCGGCGGCACACCTTCACCAGCCGAAGAGCCGTCCCGCGGTAAGCGCACGCACACACCAGGACTACAGAAGCACACGCAGAGTCGTCCACTTCTGCAGTCCTGGCCTGTGCGCGCTTCCAGCGCGACTGCTCCGTGGCAGGGAACGGCGACGGAACCGTGCACGACTCTCCGACAGCGAAGCAGCAATCGACAGCGATCAGCTCGAGCAGGCGCTCGCATCTGTCGAGTGAAAGCAATCAGTACTCATCCTTGGCGCGTGTGTCTCAAGTCACTCACCGTCCGTTAGTGCAATCAGGCTCGTGGAAGCAACAGAGCGGCAAGTAATGGCATGCTTTGCTCGACGACAAGCCGATGCTCATGCCTGCGAATGTCGCGGTCATGGACACCGGCTGAAGGTCGAGCGAGACATTTCAACGCTCGTGCTTCGTTGCTGCGACGCGCCCGGAGGTCAGAGGTCTCGTGGAAGCTGTGTTGCTTGAGGAGCTCGCAAGACGGATGGTGTCGGCGCAGTCGGGATCGAGCGGTGACAGAGCAAGGAAAGCACCTCTGCCCGGCGGCATCGCTATCGGCGCTGAGGCTATGAAGCACGTGATGCCCAAGAAGCAGGCAGCAGGAACCTGCTGCCCGCCTTTTGGGAATCACATACTCCATAGCCTCAGCGCCCTGCTCAGTACCGCCTGAAATGCCGTGTCGAGCTTGCTGTGGCGTTCGGGCCCAAACAGCCAGGACGATGACGAGGAGAGAAGCTTCGGCCACGCCGTGATTGCAGTGTCAGAGGAGAGGTCTGCTGAGCGCGCGACTCGACTCACAAGCACGCGACGCTTCAGTCGAGCCGCCTTGGCTGGCCGAGGACTCGCGAGCCGTGCGTCGGCCATGGAGGCTCCGGTCCTTGATGAGGAGATGACTCTTGAGCTGGTGGAGCACGACTGAATCAGCTAGTGCTTGAGGGCGGAAAGGCGTTCAAACCTCCTCAGGAAGCAGTACTTACAGAGGACAGCCCCGCTCTCTCGATACCGGCACGACTCGCGCCTTGCTGGGGACAGGCGCGCTCGCTGCGACGTCTCCGCCTCGAGAAGAATCATGTCGACCACGCTGAGAGGCGAGCCCAGCGCCGGGTTGCCGATGACGATGGCCGCTGGCGCTGTACAGCTTCGCAGCTCCTGGTCGACCAGTACTGGGCGAGGTCGCCTAAAGGCGACGACGACGGTGGCAGTCGCTGTCGCCGCCGCATCGACGGTAGCAGCGACTGCCGCAGTCGCCGTTGCCGTGGGGCAGATCAGGCAGAGTACGACCGAGGCGTGCCTGGCAGGCGTCACCTGCGGAAGGTGCTGCTGACGGCTCGCGGCGAAGAAGAGACGGCGCAGGAGGATAAGGGGGTGGTGGTGCGGAGAGAAACTGCGCGTGCTCGACTGCTCCTTTGTATAGACGCTGTCGCGGGCTCGGAACGGCGCGCTGCGAAGGGCTCGGCACCGCACCCCGCACCGACCTGCGGGCCGGCCGCAGGTTGAGAAAGAGCGGGCACATCGCCAGTGTCCAGGTCATGACGTAGAGCGGGGCCGAGGCGAGCGAGCGAAAAGCGGAAAGCAGCGGTGCTGCTGCCGTCCGGAGCGACAGAAGCGAACGCGCGAAGCCGCACGCGCAGGTGCGGCGTGCGTGCCTCTTGCTTGCGATGCCTCCGTTGATGACGCCATCAGCACAGGTGCCGAGTGCCTGAGCGGGGCCGCTCTCAGGGGTGTTGTGCCGCGGCGCAGCTCGGCTACCCCTCAGGGGGCACCGCACGTGATCCGCGGCGCAGACGCAACGCAGCCATGCCTATGACAAGACAAGAGCGCCGGAGCCTGTTGTCGCGGCAGCTGAGCAGGAAGGTGCTTGTACCGAAAGGTTCACGACTGCCAGCAGCCGCAGCAGCAGGGGCAAGGCCTACCGCCGGCGATGGCGCGAGGCGCGTCGCGCCTACGTCGCTCGCCGACATGCCATCCACGCGCGCGCACGTGTGCAGATCGGCACAGCTCGCTCTGGGTGGGCATTCAGCGAAGGCAGGAGATGCGCATAGTATTGTCATCTTCCCCAATCCTTCGCTGGCGACGGTCCGGGGAAAGCGAGCCGGAAAAAGAAGCGGGCAGCATAGATTCGACGCACGCAAGGCGCTCTTCGACGCGTGGGAGACAGCGCAGCGGCGCGCGGCGGATGGCGAGCTAGCTCCTCGCTCTCATCGACTTGACTTAACCAAGTGCTCTGCCAGAAGTGCTGGCTTCAACGTCAGGGTGGTACTGCTGCGCTGGTGCTGCCGCAGCTTCGGACAGATGATGAAGTCGTCGCAGCCGCAAGCCTGGCACGCGGCTCTCGGCGTGGACGCGTCCACTGCCTCTCTTTCCGCGCGTGCTCCGCATCGCGCAGCAGATGTGGGCAGGAGCAAGAGTCTTAGTCTCACTTGCTCGCTCGGCTGCATCCTCAGCAGCCTACGGACTCTCGTGCAGAGCGTGGCAAGAAAGAAGACTCAGAGGCGTCAGGGCACGAGCGTGGCGCAGACACGGTGGCATTCGCGAGGGAGCGCATCGGACGCGACAGGTGTGGCGTGTGTGGAAGGGAACAGAAGACATTGGGAACGGCCGCATCGCAGATGGCGATGCGGGGGCATCAGACGTGACGGACGGGACATGTGTGGACGAGACATGAGCGAAAGGGAACGCGGCGGCGAGGCCTGGCGCGAGGCGGCTTAGATGGGCGCCTGCTTGTCGAGGGCGAGGTGCACGGCCTGGACGGGTGGTGTCAGCGTCGTGTAAGTAGGTAGCGGCGACAATGACACACTCACCTTGACGTTGGTGTAGTTCGTAAGGGCGTACTGGCCCATCTCGCGGCCGATACCCGAGGCCTTGTAGCCGCCTGCGAAAATCGTCTCAGCACATCGAAAATCGCCTAAGGCAATCGTTCTGCTCACCGAACGGAACCTGAGGAGTGAGCTGGTTGTGCTGGTTGATCCTTCGAGCATTTCGATGGTCAGTATAAGGTTTAGAAGCGGCACAAGCAGTCAGGCAACTCACCAGACTGCAGTCGAGGGAGGCGGGGAGGGGAGGGACGCGCGGCGCGTCAGCGGATGGCCCGTGCGCGCGCGCGTGGTGCAGCTGATCCGCCACTCTACTCACCCGTGCCAGCCTTGAGCTTGTGCGCCACCGAGATGCCCTTCTTGATGTTGAGGGTGTGCACCGAGGCGGCGAGGCCGTACATGGTGTCGTGGGCCTTCTTGAGCAGGTCGGCCTCGTCGGTGAACTTGGAGACGACGAGGACGGGGCCGAAGATCTCCTCCTGCGCAATCTTGGCGTCGGGCTTGACGTCGGTGAAGATCGTGGGCTCGATGAAGTAGCCCTTGTCGCCGTGGCGCGCGCCGCCGGAGACGAGCGTGGCGCCGTCCTTCTTGCCGCTCTCGATGTGCGCCATGATGCGGTCGAACTGCAGCTGCGAGACCTGCGGGCCCTGGAAGGTGTTCTTGTCGAAGGCGTCGCCGACCATGCCCTGCACCTGCTTGACCTTGGCCGAGAGCTTCTGCATGAACTCGTCGTACGCGCTCTCCTCGACAAAGACGCGCGAGCCGGCGCAGCAGCACTGGCCGTGGTTGAAGTAGATGCCGAACGCGGCCCAGCCGACGGCCTGGTCAAGGTCGGCGTCGCCGAAGACGATGACGGGCGACTTGCCGCCGAGCTCGAGCGTGACCTTCTTGAGGTTCGACGAGGCGGCCGCCTTCATGACGTTGCGGCCGACGAGCGTCGAGCCCGTGAACGCGACCTTGTCGATGTCCATGTGCGCGCTGATGGCGGCACCGGCGACGGGGCCGAAGCCCGACACGATGTTCACGACGCCCGGCGGGAAGCCGGCCTCGACGATGAGCTCGGCCATCTTGAGCGCCGAGAGCGGCGTCTGCTCGGCCGTCTTGAGCACGACGGTGTTGCCCGTGGCGAGCGCGGGCGCAATCTTCCACGCGAACATGAGGATCGGGAAGTTCCACGGGATGATCTGGCCGCACACGCCGATGGGCTCGTGGCGCGTGTAGTGGAAGTCGGCCGACGAGTCGACCTCGATCGTCTGGCCCGTGTTCTTGTCGGCCCAGCCGCCAAAGTAGCGCAGGTTGGCCGCGACGCTGGGCACGTCAAACGACGAGGCAATCGAAAAGGCCTTGCCGTTGTCGAGCGACTCGATCGACGCCAGCTCGTCGTTGTGCTTCTCGACGAGGTCGGCGAGCTTCATGAGCAGCTTGCCGCGCTGCGCCGCGGGCGTGCGCTCGCCCCAGACCTCGTCGTAGGCCTTGCGCGCGGCCTTGACGGCGACGTCGATGTCCTTGGCGCTGGCCTCGCTGACCTGCGCGATCTCCTCGCCCGTCGCGGGGTTCACGACGCCGAACGTCTTGCCGTCGAGCGCCGGCTGGAACTTGTTGTTGATGAACAGGCCCGTCTGCACGGTCGACTTGCCGCCGTTGTTGAAGGAGAGGTTCGCGGACATGGTGTGCTCAGAGTGTGGGTGGTGTACTGAGGTGGGATGTGGTGGTGGTGAGAGGGTGAGAGATGGCGAGAGAGTGGCGACCAGAATGGCGCAGCGTGCCGTGGCTGGTCTGCGTGGCTGCAGCCGCGGCTAGCAGGTGTCGGTGTCCGTGCGGAGGGCGGGCAGGTGGCCAGTGTTCCCCGCCGCTCCCCGCAGCCGCTCAATCGATCTTCGGCACTCGGTGTGGAGTCCGCCTTTGCCGCGCCGCCGCCGCGTTCCCACCCGCCAAAGGAGGCGGCGCGCTGGCGCAGGCGCCGCGGACCGCGCCGTCGCCGCCGCACGCGCACCAGTCTCATCGTCCGACTGGGGACACTGCACATGTGCCGACCTTCTGGCTCGTCGCTGCGCACGGCCGCTCCACTGCGGTCCAGCGGAAGCGGGGCAGAGAAAGAGCGCCGCACTCCTCACGCGGGGCCCCTCGGCCTCGGCCACCCGGACGCTATGGAGACGGCATCCGGCCTACACAGCACGCTAATCGCCATCGACGTCGAGGAGAGAGGTGCGTGCCCGCGGCCTGAGCGGAGGCCGTGCTACAGCAGCATTTAGCAGGAGCAGCCAGGTGCAGCTCTCGGTGGGGTCTGCTTCTCCTCTGCGGCAAGCTCGGCCAGCGCCGCTCTTTCCGAGTCGTGTGCGCACAGAGCACTCGACCCGCTGCACCCACCCGCTCTACTTTGCCATGGCCTGGATATTGACCCTCTCCTCCGACCACTTTGCGGCGGCCGGCAGGAGCTGCTGCAGGTGGCGCGCGCCACTCAGAGCGCAGCGGTGATAGACTCGCACGGTTCTTGCTTGCAGAGCGCGGTCTAGATCAGGCCTCGAAGAGTGTCGAGCGGTCCGTGTGCCATTTGTTGCCTGCGATGGACGCAATTTGACGGAGTGCCCCACATCAGGCCGGCGGTGCGGTCGACAGCTCGAGCAGCACGCCGCCATCCGGACCGCTGCGCCGCGCGGCTAGCACACGCGCCCGATGGCCTGTGCACGCTGGCCGGCGACCCGCATCTCCTGGGCCGCTCCTCGTCCTGACAGCGCAATGCACGCATGGGCCTCCTCCTTGTCGTGCCAACATCACAGTCGATGCGCAGGAGCTGCCGGAGGAGGCGGCCGTACTCAGCTTTGTTCGAGAACAATCGGCAGCGGATGTGCTCGAGTGCCGCTCCCTGCTGCTCAGCGCTTTCTTCTGCTGACGAGCGAACAGGGATGCTGGTGAGACATGGAGATAGCTTCATAATCTGGAGCAGGCATAGTCACAGCCTCTAGATGAGTCCTGATCCCATCAAAGTCGTCTTCGGTTGCGAATGTCGACACAACGCGGCGATGAGACGCGCTGCTCGCTTTGCTTTGCGCCGTCTCTCAAGATGATGCGACACCTTGTCAGAATGGGCGCTCTTCTGACCAGGTGATCGCGAAGACAGTAGAAGGGCTGTGTGTATGACTCGATGACGACCAGACGTCCGTCTGGCCGTATCTCGAATGAGAAGCGCATGCTGTCGACCTCTGATTGTAGCCTTCGCACATCCGCGATCCGGTCTGACAAGAGGTTCCAAGCGACCTAAGCACACCGACTGCGGCAGCAAGTTTTTGACATGTCACCCACAAATATTTTGGTCTTGAAGGTGCGTCAGAAGGAATGCCGAGGGCCTCGGGCAGCAAGGGCGGAGGGGACATCGAGAGGGGGCGACGAGAGCGCGGCCCGTGCGCCGAGAACGCCGCGGCCCGATTCCCGTGCCGCCGAGCTTCTTCCTGATCGCTTCGCTTCTCTCCCTCACCCTCTCCACGCTCTCAAGTCATGTCTCTGCCTGCCACGCTCACGCTGCCCTACGGCACGCAGCATGAGCGCCAGCACGTGCTGCTCTCGCTGCCGCCGGGCGATGCACGCGCGCCGCTGCTCGTCTTCATCCACGGCGGCGCCTGGCGCTCCAATGCGGCGTCCGACCACGCGCGCCTGGCCGCACACCTCGCGACCCACGGCGTCGCTGTGGCGCTCGTCGAGTACCGCCTGTCCACGTCCGACGGCGGCGCCGTGCGGCACCCGCAGCACGCACAGGACGCCAGCGACGCGCTGAGCTTCCTGCTGCGATCCGGCGACGAGGCGTGGCGCAGCCGCATCGATCCTCGCAACACCGTCGTGGCTGGCCACAGTGTCGGCGCGCACATGTGCCTCTCGATGGCGCTGTGCGCAGAGGCTGCATCCGTGGGCAAGGGTGAGGTGGAGCGCATGCCTGGCCTCCCGGAGCGCAGCCAGATCAAGGCATGGGTGGGCATCGTGAGTGCGCCGCCTGACATTGCCTCGTCCTCCACTGACACGCGTGCAGGCGGGCATCTACGACATCGTCGCGATGCTGCGTGCCTATCCGTCATACGTCTCCTTTGTGGAGCAGGCCTTTGGCGCACCGCCGCCGGACTGCGACCTGGGCATTGAGCGCTACGCGCCAGCGTCGCTGCCGGCATGGCCCGTGCCGCCGCAGCCGCCGCGCGTGTACCTGGCGCACTCGCTCGACGACGAGCTGCTCGACGTGCAGGGCAGCAAGGCGGCGCAGACGGAGCTGCAGCGCAAGGGCTGCAGCGTGCAGACGTACTGGACCCTCACTGTGAGCGACGGCGCGCATCGCTACGCCGACGATCGCTGACGCTCTCGCAGGGCACGCACGACGAGTCGCTGCAGACCGAGGCATTCTGGGGCTACCTGCTTGCCATCGTGCGCAGCGAGACGGACGTGTCACAGCACTAGACCGCGCGTAGCTGCTCTCACGCACATAGAGACAACCCATCACATACCCTCTGCTCGTCATCACTGCATCTCATTCACCCGCCTACTCGCGTCCCTCCAGCACGTCCAAAGCCTGGCGCATGAGCTTGCGGCTCGTATCGATGTCGTCGTAGTCCAGCGCGCTGGCGGCGTGGCGCGCGAGCTTCTGCACGCGTGTCGTCTGCTGATGCGTGAGAGAGGTCGGCAGCGGCGGCGCAGCCACGGCCGCGGGCGGCGGTGGCTGCGGCGGAGCAGCGACAAAGGGCGGTGCTGAGGCGGCGGGTGCGGAAGGCCGGAGCGAGGGAGCCACCGAGGGCGGCGCGGAGGGCTGCTGCGGAGGGGGCAAGAAGCCAGAGCCGGGCGTGCCAGGCAGGCCGCCGGCGCCGGACCCATGGCTCAAGAAGCCAGACGTGCTCTGGCGTGGCGGCGGCGGGCGCGGCGGATGCGGTGCCGGGGCAGAGCCGGGCGGCGCAGGTGCAAAGGGAGCATGCCCTGCCGCTGCGGCTGCGGCTGCGGCTGCTGCCGAGGACGGCGAGAGATTCGGAGAGAGACCGAGCGTGCTGCTGCCACCTTGCGGATGCGGCAGGGGACGCGGCGACGCAGATGGCGGGATCGTCGGCGGAAGTGTCGGCGAGTATGCGAGCTGGCTTGTAGCACCAGACGGCGAGGCAAAGACGTCGCCGGCTCCGGCTCCTGCGCCAGAGCCACTGCCAGGTGCAATGCCGCTCTCGCTGCCAGCGCGCGAGAGCTGGCCGCGCGCAGACATCGGCAGAGAGAAGTTTGGCGAGCCCATCGGCACGCCCGAGCCCTGTGACGGAGGCGCTTGCGGCTGTTCCGGCGCGAGGCCGGGCGTCACATCCCGAGAGAGGCGGCTCTGGGCGCGCAGCCCCTTGCGCGGCGTCTCAACGTCCAGAGAAGGATCGGCAGGCGAGAAGGCGCGGGCAGGAGACGCAGCGTCATCGGCCGTCTCCGGCGCAGGGCTGCCAGCAGTCAGGCGCGCCATCTCCCGGGCCACGTACGCATCCTCTTCCTCCTTGGCCCGCGCACTCTCAACCGGCACGCCGAGCGCGGCGAGTCCCGCCTCGGCCTGGGCGGCGGCCACCTCGTCGGCCGACAGCCCACCAGCGGGGCCCGGGACTGGCACGCGCCCCTCACGCAGCGCCTTGGCAATGTCTGCTGCCTTCCACTTGGCGTACTTGTGCTTGGCGCCCAGCTGAGTGTCGCTGTTGTGAGCTCGAACGCGCACGGCGAAGGATGGGGCGACGCACCTCTTCGTCTAGCTCGCCAAACTCCGAGAGCACGTCTAGGAACGTCGAAGCGGCCAAGAACGCCCTTGCCGTGTTCCTGAGAGGCAAGCAGCCGTGTCAGAAGGGTTGATGCTGAGGTGCACAGCAGCACCTGCGCTCGACCGCTCAAGCTCCGCAGCTTGTCAGCGACTCGGCCAAGTCGCGGCGAGCAATGCATCTGCCTCAAGCGGGCGCTCACACCCGGCAAGCGCGGCAGGCACTGCACGCTCCGCTGCCCATGTACTGCGCCTCCGGCTCGGCACGCCCCGCTGCGCATGCACACGTCCGCAGCACCACTCACCGGCCCGCCTTGCCCTGGCGGTCCTCGGCGTCGGCGCGGCCGAAGACATCGCGCGCGCGCGCCTCGACGTAGGTGCGGCCCGAGTCGTCGCTCTCGACGCGCGCGTCGCCGCGCATGGCGGCCTTGTGCGCCTCGAGCACGTCCATGAGCTGCGTGAGGAAGGCGCGCGCCGGCGGCTCCAGCGCGGAATACTGCGCCAGCCCGAGGCGCGCGGCGCGGTAGAGCACCCAGTAGGCGAGCGCCGCATCGGCCGTGCGCAGCTCGGCGAAGCGCTGCAGGTGCGGCGTGAGCGCGCGCAGGGCCGGCGGCGCGGGCGGCAGGGCGCTGGACATGGTGAGTGAGGGTGGTGGAGGGAAGCGAGGCTGTGAGCGCTCAGCGCGGCACAGAGGCGCGGCGAAGCATCATCACGGCTGCCCCTGGCCCGAGCGCAGCGCAGCGCAGCGCAGCGGCTCAACAGCGCGTGGCATCACGTGCGCGCGGCTTCAAGAATTCTGGCTTCACGGCGCGCGCCTCCACCAGAGGCGCCGGCGCGCCTCACTCGCTGCTTGCTTCCAACCACCTGCCCAGCATGTTTACCGCTCCGCCGAGCGCATACACCTTCACTGTGCGTCGTCGGCGCCGCCTGCTGCACTCCCCGATGATGTCTGCTGACGCCGCGCGGCAGATCGAGCCCTCGCCGCTCGTGCACAGCACGGCCGAGGCGCCCGCATCGCTGCCGCAGGTGCCGGCCAACCTCGGCCTGCCGGACGGCGCCGCGTGGAGCGACTTCAGCGCTCGCCTGGCGCAGCTCAACCGCGACGCTGCTGGCGGCGCCAGCTACAAGCTCGTCTGGGCCGCGCGCCACGGCGAGGGCTACCACAGTGCGTCGCGCAGCCACGCTCCGTTGCGCACCGCTGACGCTGCCGCAGATGTCGCCGAGGCAAAGTACGGCGTCGCAGAGTGGGATCGCAAGTGGTCGCTGCTAACTGGCGACGGCGAGGGGGCCGTCTGGGGGCCCGATCCGCCGCTGACGGCGCTGGGCGAGGGCCAGGCGCGGGCCGTGCGTGATGCACTGCAGGCCTCGCAGCAGAGCTCCGACCCGGCCCCGCTACCGACCGCGCTCTTTGCCTCGCCGCTGCAGCGCAGCGCATACACGGCTGCGCTCGCCTATGCCGGCACGCTTCTTGCCGAGGACGGCAGCTGGAATGCCAAGTGCGCGCTCGCCTCGCCGCCCACCATCATGGAGGGCCTGCGCGAGGGCTTTGCGGAGCGGCACACGTGCGACAACCGCAGTGGCCGCGCCGACATCGTCGGGCGATGGAAGGGCTGGGTGGTCGAGGAGGGCGTTGAGGAGGCCGATGGACTTTTCACGGTATGTACTGCTGCGTCGTGGCCGCCCAGCCGCGGCTGAGTCTCTCGCACAGGGCGACACGCACGAGACGCCGCAGCAGATGGCCAGCCGCGTCGCCGACGCGCTCTCGGCCATCTGGCAGCGCACAGAAGGGCAGCACGGTACGTCACACTTTGCAGCAGACGAACGCTCCTGATGCTGAGGGCTGCGCCTACACAGTGATCGGCATCACCTCGCACTCTGGCACGATGCAGGCCCTCTTCCGCGCCGTCGGGCATCCCGACTTCAAGCCCGTGCCGGGCGGCCTCGTGCCCATGCTCATCAAGGCGACGCCCCGCTCCGCTGCTTCTGCTCCTGGTCACGGGCCGGCGACGGTGGCCTCCACCCTCGGCGCTTCGCCCGCGGAAGCTCAGGCAGCGTTCGCGCCCGGCCTCCTGTCGAGTGCCAAGGAGGTGCGCGAGCGCTACGAGACGAGCCAGCCGTACAGGCACGCCGTCGTGCAGGGACTGCTCGACGCGGAGCTGCTCAAGAAGGCGCGCGAGGAGATCATCGAGGAGCTGCGCTTCACCGAGAAGGAGACGGACATCTACAAGGTAAGCTGCGTCAGCCACGTGCTGCCTCGCCCTAGCTGAGCGCACTGCACGGCAGGTCAACCAAACGGGCGACTTGGCCAACCTCGACGGCCTGCCCGACTCGGAGGTCTCGCGCCTCGGCTCTCTGCTGCGCCTGCGCAACGCCATCTACTCGGAGCCGTTCCGCGCGTGGCTCCAGGAGGTGACGCAGTGCGGCCCGCTGAGCGCCAAGAACAAGGACATGAGCATCAACGACTACCGCAGCGGCTGCCACCTGCTCAATCACGAGTGCGTCATGCGCCGGCTGTAAGCAGACGTCTTGCTGACCCGAGCGCTTCAGCGACGTGATTGCCACGCGCCGCCTCTCCTACATCCTCTACCTGCCCGACCCTGCGCAGGACTGGAAGCCCGAATGGGGCGGCGCCCTCGAGCTGTACCCAACCGTCTCGCGCGGCGTGCCGGCCGACGTGCCGAATGTGGTCATTCCGCCTAGTACGTCGCCTGCTCGCCTCGCACATACCACACGCTGACAGCCGCCGCAGAGTGGAACCAGTACACCTTCTTCACGGTGCAGCCCGGCCACTCGTTCCACTCCGTCGAGGAGGTGGCGCACCCGACGCACTCGCGCCTCAGCATCTCGGGCTGGTTCCACCGGCCCCAGCCCGACGAGCCGGGCTTCAGCGAGGAAGATGAGCGCCGCGAGGAGGAGGAACGCAAGGCGCATGCCAGCGCAGAGGGTCTGGTGCGTCTCGCTACCCAGCTATGGAGCCTATGCCGCTGACTTTGTACATCTGCAGTCGTCTGAGCAAGCGACGCTGCCGTTCACGCCGTACGCCGACTCGCTTGAGGTGCCGCTGCCCGGCACGCCCCTCTCCGCGGCCTCGCGGTCCTTCCTGGCGCACTTCCTCAACCCAGCATACCTGCAGCCCAAGACGCAGGCGCAGCTCTTCGAGCAGTTCGGCGACGACTCGCACCTCCTGCTCGCGGACTTCCTGCGGCCCGAGCTCGCCAAGCCGCTCGAGGCCGCGCTGCTTGACAAGGACGGCGAGGCGCGAGTGCGTTGGTGGGACCTGCCCGGCGGCCGGGAAAGCGCCGCTGTGCCGCCGCACTCGACCGGCGTGGACAGCGACTGGAAGATCGTCGGCCCCCCGCACCGGCAGCGCTACCTGTCACTGCTCTCGCCCGACTCCGTCGAGCCCGCCACGGCAAATCCGGAGCTTCCGTCGCCATTCCCGCGCGACGCCACCGCACTGCTCTCGCTGCTGCGCACGCACCTCTTCCCGAGCCCCGCCTGGCGGCATCTCCTGGCGAACCTGACGCAGCTGGTGCCGCTCGCTGCACGGCCGATCGAGGCCCGGCGCTTCCGGCCAGGGCTCGACTACACGCTCGCGCGCGCCGACAGTGCCGCCGTGCTGGATGTCTGCCTCGGCCTGACGCCGCGGGTCGCGCGTCACGCCCTGGCCAAGGCAGGCGGCCCACCGGCACCCAAGGGCCTCGCCGCGCGCAAGGCAGCGGCCAAGCGCGCCAAGACCAGCACGAAGGAGGCCGGCATGACGCCCGAGCAGGCCAAGGACCTCGAGGCGGCCTGGGAGGCCGGAGACGTCGGCGGGTGGATGGCCTACATGCCGCCGGCGGACGACGACGAGGAAGACGACCCGGCCGTCTACGCGTCGAAGAAGCGCAGGGAGAGGGAAGAGAAAGGCGAGCCGGCAGACGCGGCCATGCACGAGGAGGAAGAGGTGGTCGAGATGGAGGAGGACGACGGGGAGGATGACGAGGACGACGGCCCGCTGCTCAGCCTCAACCCCAGCTGGAACACGCTGAGCCTGGCGCTGCGCGACGAGGTGAGCACCCGCATCCGTCGCTGGTCCGGGCATGGCTGACCCCCGCGAGCAGAAGGTCGCGCGCTTCGTCAAGTACCTCTCGGCCTCGGCCGGCGGCTCGCGCTGGGACATCATGGGCGGTGAGTCGCTTCACGCCAACGACAGATGGCCTGTGTCTGACGCACCCCGCGCCTCCAGAGTGGGAGATCGGGGCAGTGGAGCTCGAGGAGATGGACGAGGGCGACGACTGAGGCCCGCACGCTGGCTCCCCGTCGAGCGCTTGACCCTGTAATAGAAGCTTGCCGCACAATGCTCTGCCACTGGCTGCCCCTGCCCGCCGCAGCGCGCTGCCTGTTCGCGCGACCTCGCTCGTCCGGCCGGCTGTCTCTCACGCGCGCTCACAGCGCATCGTCGCTGCCGTATCACGTCTGTGTACTCACCCGCGGCTGTCAGTGACGCTCGCCGGCGCTTACAGTAGTCTGACGAGCTGCGGCAGAGCCTTCGGCCGGAGGCTTCGACGACGGCGCAGCATCTCCTCCGTTGCTGTCTGTGCTGAGTGGCTGCTTCGCCGGGTCAACAGGTATCTCTGGGCACGCACTGAAAGGACAGCCGCCACCACCGAGTGCAGAAAAGCGGTAAGGTGCCTTCAGGCCCGCTCCGCGGCAATATCTGCCGCATGCACCGCATTCTTGTCTGGGCCGCAGTCCTGGCAGCTCGGCCCACGCCCTGTAGCGCGGGAGAGACAGCCTCATTGTCCTGCATGGATCGCTTCATTGTGATTTAGTGCGCAGTCTCGCAAGCTGATCATTACGGTGCAGCAAGGGAGCGTGCGCGCCAGGGTGCGGACGGAAAAGAATGCGCGCTCTGGACGCTCGCGCGCGTCCAATTTGTGCCGAAAGGCGGATTGCGGCAGTTTTCGTGCCTCTGCGCCTTGCACACAGCCGTCTCGCGCAAGACAGGGACACTACCGTCATCGCAACGCCCTTCTTGCGCCCCAGACGGCTCGCGCACAGAAAGGACGCCCCGGCATGCTTTGTCTCTTGTCGGCGTTGGTGAGAAGAGAGGCAGTGCAGTGCTTTACCCTGTGCCGTAGAGATGCCCTACGACAGCGCCGCGCTACAGGTGAAGTGCGGGGCGGCGACGCCTACAACGGGTTTCGGCGTGCTGCTGACGTCTAGCCTAACTGTCATCGCTCACCGCGCAGCCGAGCGACAGCCGTGAGTGAGCTGAGAACGTCCTGCAGTGCTCGTATGTGTGCCAGCGCAGCGGACAGGGGTCAAGGTGCTGGTTGCATTGAGAGCAGAACGAGCGGACGCGGCAGAGGTGGAAGCAGGCGCAGCGGGAAGGGAGGCCGCGTAGGGACGCTGATGCGCGGTCGCGTATGCGCGTGCGTTGATGCCCATGCGGGAGTCGCGACCGGCCCCGCCAGACCGCCACGCGCGCCGCGCCGCGCAGCCAGAGCCGCGGCGTTGCGCGGCGCGCGTTGCTCAAGGGCAAGGCGCGGCAACGGGTCGCCGCCGAGGCTGCCGCTGCCGATGCGCCCGTTGCGTTGCGTCCAACAGTCCGCACCGTCTGATGCTGGCCGCTGTGTGCTGGACGTGGAGTCGGTGTTCTCCAAGGTCGAGGCGTACAAAAGGGAGGCGAGGCTGTGCCCTGTCTCGAGGCGTGCCATCTCCCCCCCCAAGCTCTCTTGCCTCGCCATGGCTACGATCAACGCCTCGTTTGTGTCGGCGCCGCGCTCGATTGAGCAGAGCAACACCGCCGCCTCGCCCATCCACCACCAGACGACGAGCCACGCGGCGCTGATGCGTGGACGCGCCGAGCAGCGCGCCGGCTCGGCGCTCGAGAAGGACCTCGAGAAGGGCGCCGGCGCGCAGCAGCCGCACGCGCAGGACCTTGCCCGCAGCGGCTCGCCCGACGAGGACCGCGACGACCTCAACACGCTGGCCGAGGCGGCTGCGGGCAACCCCGAGCTCGCGATCCAGCAGCTGCTGTCGACGTACAATGCCGCCGTGGCGCGCGCCATCTCCTACGACAACTTCATCTGGAGCACGCCGGGCGTGACGCTGGCGGCGCACGCGTTCCTGTTCAGCATCGCACTCGCCGGCGTCAACTCACAGGCGTCGCGCATCATCTCGATGATCCTCTCGCTGCTGATCAGCCTCATCATCTTCCAGGTCTTTGCGCGCCACCGCCAGGCCGAGGTGGCCATGTCCGTGTGGCTGCAGGCCTTTGAGGAGCGCCACTTTGCCGGCCTCAAGCCCGAGGACCACCTGCACTCGCGCGGCCTGCAGCTCAAGAAGGAGCTGCGCCACTCGCGCATCCCCAACGGCATCCTGTTCCCGCAAGTCGGCAACTGTAAGTGCCCTTTCGGCGACAGCAGGCTGCGACTGACCTCGTGCGGCGACCCTCGCAGACAACATGTGGCAGGGCGCCATCGTGCTGATCGGCATGGTCGCGCTGGCCACGCTGATCATGACGTGCGTGCGCGACGACCTCTTCCGCAACCCGGCGTGAGCCAGCGAGCACAGAGATGCACGACAGCAAGCCTGCCACGGCTCCCTACTCCACGAACGCTATGCCCTCTACCATGACATGCCTCCTTACCTAATGCAGCGTATTGACGTCGCCTGTCGCTGCGCCGGTGCGCGCACCTGCGGGTTGAGCAAGCAGAGGTGCCGGTGTGCGGAGTGCAGTCAAAAGCTGAATGCTCCCTTTGCACCCTGGTGCGTGTGGATGCGCCTTGCTAGCTTGCCGGTCGGACTGGTGGAGAATGGCGCCGCTGAGCGGCGGGTGCGGGTATGTGGTCGAGAGCAAAGCAGGAAGCGGCACGCGACACGCGCCTTGGCGCGGGGGCCAGGCTGGTGCGGCGCCGTGCCTGCCCTCCGAGGCACGCATGTCCGCAGCGCCGGCTCCGGCTGCCATTGCCAGGGCCGCTAGGCTCTCCGCGATTTCTTGCTGAGCCCGAGATCGGCCCAAGTCGACGTTCGATTGCGAACCGCGCGCCAGAAGGGCTGCTAGCGTTCGACGGGTGCTGACCGCCTGTCACTTGCTGCCATGCGTGGCGTGCGTGGCTGGCGCGCGTCTCGTCCGTTGGCACCAGCCCGCCGCCGTCGGGCAGCGCTGGCCGCTGCATGGCAGAAAGAGGAAGCTAGGCACACGGCTGACTCTCGCATCCGTCGAGTAGAGCGCTCTTCGGCGCGGACCGAGTGCATTTGCACAAGGCTGCGACAGAAGCGGGCGGCAAGCTTCCTGCATAACGTCGCGAGCCTCGATGCCGACGCCTCCTCATGCGCATCATGGCACATTTGGCGTGGCATGCGATCGTTCCAGCCTCCCCTCCCTCGCATCAACCAACGCCCGCTCATCAGCGGCCACCATGCTCGCCTGTCGAGTCAAGGTCATGCGAGAGAAGCGCTTGGCAGCAAGGCACGCGCTGCGAAAGGGTCTGGGCAGAGAGAGCTGCATTTCAGGGTACCCGCCGGCTGCTGTCGGCGGTGATGCGGGCCTTTGCGTCTGCGTTGCCCAGGGGATGCCCGGCCTTCTTCCAAGACTCGACGAAGCCGTGCACCTTGCCCGTCACGTCGTCTGCCGACTGCGAGCGACCGAAGGCATCGACGAACTTGCCCTCTGCGCGAGAAGACGGCATGAGCAGCGCACGGCACAGAGCGGCGAATGACGCACCTGGGTCCATGAGGTAGAAGAAGATGCTGTGGTCGACGAGGTAGTCGCCGCTCGGGTCGGCGCCGGGCGGCGTGCTGAAGTACACGCGGTACGCCTTGCACGCCTGCTTGACCGCCTCGTAGCTGCCCGTAAGGCCCATCAGGCGCGGGTGGAACTCGGACACGTATGTGGCGGTGGCGGCGAGCGTGTCGCGTGCTGGGTCACATGTGATGAAGAGCGGGTTCACGATCTGCCCAAAGGAGGCGTCTGCGAGGCGGAGGTGAGCAGAGCACCAGGGCGGCTTCGCCGCGGTGCCACGCACCAATCGCATCGACGACCTTGCCCATCTTGTCCAGCTCTTCCGGGCAGATGTCTGGGCCTGCAAATGAGCAGCGTCAGCCTTGTGTCGGCCGCAGTCTTGCACCGCACGCACAGTTGGTAAAGCCAAAGTAGACGAGCGTCCACGCGCCCTTCAGGTCCTCGTGGGTCACCTTACGGCCCTCCACCTGCGCAGCGATGGTGCCAGGCGCGCTGCCGGACGGCGCCACAGGCATGACCAGCTCGAACTCGCCGCCGATGCGCGGCCGGCCGACCTTGGCGCTGGCATTCTCGGCCTTTCGGCGCTCCTCCACGGCCTGCTTCTCGGAGCGGAAGTAGAGGAGCAGTCCGACGCCGGTGAGCACGAAGAGGCCGGCAGAGAGCGGCGTGAAGGGGCCGATGGCGTAGCGGGCGCGGGCGTCGGAGCGAGAGCGCGGCGACGAGGGCACGGGCGCCGCCGCTGCCGCCGGCGAGGTGCGGAAGCCGCGGCACCACGGCGCAGCAGCCACGGCAGACGTGGAGGCAGAGGTAGGCGCGCTGCGCTGCGCAGCCGGCACGGACTGGCGGCAGCTGCGCAGTGCAGTGAGGGCAGAAGAGCGCAGCATGGTGCGCGCTGTACGTCTGCTGAGCGCTGCGAGGGGGATGGGAAGAGGAGCGAGGAGGGCCGCCTGGTGGAGGCGCGCCGCTGACCTCAACGCGGCGCGAGGCGCTGCTTACCTCAGCACCACATCCTCGCACAGGCGCGACGCCGTGGGAACGCGAAGGCACCGGCTGCAGGGGCCGGACCCTCTGCCTCATCTCCACAACAATCCCCCGGCCCCTCTCCACCCAGCACCTGCACACCGCTCCCGGCTACTCGCAGCGCGAGGGTCACGCTTAGTTCCCGTCGGCCGCCGCGCAGGTCGCGCTCTCCGACCCGCAGTCCCTACATTCCCAGCTCTCCGCGCCAAAGCGCACTGCGACTCGCCCTTCGCTTCCCGTCCGCGCCATCGACTCCTTGAGCCATGGGTGTCCCGGCTCTCTTCCGCTGGCTCTCGAAGAAGTACCCGAAGATCGTCTCTGATGTCAAGGAGGAGCAGCCGAGGTACGCGCCGGGCGCCGACGGCGGCGAGGGCTCCGTGCCGGTGCCCACCGACATGTCGGGCCCGAATCCGAACGGCGAGGAGTTCGATGCGCTGTACTTAGACATGAACGGCATCGTGCATCCCTGTACGCACCCCGAAGGCAAGGTGAGCTCTTCGGACGCGGTTGCCCCTGCCTTGGGCCGGCGCCAGAGACTGATGCGCCACGCAGCCTGCGCCAGAGACCGAGGAGGACATGATGCTCGAGGTGTTCATCTACACCGAGCGCGTTGTGAACATGGTGCGGCCGCGCAAGCTGCTCATGATGGCGATCGGTGAGCAGTAGGGAGCGGGCAAGGCGACAGTTGAGTGGCCTGCTGACGCGTGCGTCCGGTGCAGACGGCGTTGCCCCGCGCGCCAAAATGAACCAGCAGCGCTCGCGCCGGTTCCGGGCGGCGCAAGAGGCCCGGCAAAAGGAGGAGGAGATGGAGAAGGCGCTGGCAGAGTGGCGAGGTGAGTCTTCTCGCACGCGTCACGCGGGCCGCCGCTGAGGACGACTCGCGGCTTCCCAACAGGGAAAGGCCTCGAGGTGCGCGAGGATGGCGGGGAGAAGAAGAAGGGCTGGGACCGCAACGCGATCACACCGGGCACGCCCTTCATGGACCTGCTCGCCTCGAGCCTGCGCTACTGGGTCGCGCGCAAGATGAACGAGGACCCAGGTTGGGCAAACGTGAGCAGTACTGCGCTCGCAGCACCTCTGCGAGATCTCACATCGCCTCCGCACGCAGCTGCAGGTCATCATCTCTGACGCGAGCGTGCCGGGAGAGGGCGAGCACAAGATCATGGACCACATCCGGCGGCAGCGCGTGAATCCCGCGCACGACCCGAACACCAAGCACGTCATCTACGGACTCGTGAGTGTGCCTGTGCAGGTGCGCGCCTGCTGCCGCTGATCCCCGCCTGCAGGACGCCGACCTGATCATGCTGTCGCTCGCCACGCACGAGCCCTACTTCAAGGTGCTGCGTGAGGACGTCTTTGCGCAGGCGCCCGGCGGGCGTGGCTGTCACAAGTGCGGCCGCGAGGGCCACATTGCGGCGAACTGCATCGGCGACGCCGCGCCGCCGCCGCCCAAGGACGACATGATCGTCAAGAAGCCGCAGCAGCCCGAGGTCAAGCCTTTCATCTTCCTCGACGTGTGCATTCTGCGCGAGTACCTCGAGGTCGAGCTCGCGCTGCCGAACCTGAGCTTCCCCTTCGACCTCGAGCGCGCCATCGACGACTGGATCTTCCTCATCTTCTTCGTGGGCAACGACTTCCTGCCGCACCTGCCGTCGCTGGAGATCCGCGAGGGCGCCATCGACGAGCTGCTGCGCATCTGGAAGCGCGAGCTGCCGCTGCTCGGCGGCTACCTCACGAGCCACGGCAAGGTCGACCTCAAGAACATCCAGCGCGTGATGGAGGGCATTGCCTCGCTGGAGGACGACATCTTCCGCAAGCGGCGCGACGCCGAAGAGCGGCAGGATGCTACGCAGAAGAGGCGTCGCATCGAGGACCACACGCGGCAACGCGCTCAGCACGCCAGCGAGAGGCGCGCGAGAGGCGAGCCGGAGCCCGACAGCGACACCATGTCGCACGGCGGCACGGACTACGTCGCCGTCTCGGTGGACGCCAGGGCGCAGGACGAGGCACGCAAGCGAGCGCTCGCGGCCCTCGAGAGCGGCGACAAGGGGCAGGTGATCGACAATCAGCGTGCCATTCGCATGGCCAACCTGAGCGCCGCCGAGCGGCTCAAGGCCGAGATGGCTGGAGCAAAGGCGCAGGCGGCGCGGCCATCGGGTCCCGTCAAGCAAGAGGCGGGCAGCAGCACTAATGGAGATGCAGCAGCCGGCGTGCCGGCAGAGGAGGAAGGCAAGCCTAAGCCAGATGCCGCAGAGTCCTCGGCGACTGCCGCCACCGACGATGCCGCCATCTTCAAGATGGACGAGGAAACGGCAGACGCAACGGCCGACGGAGAAGCAGCGCCGGTGCGCTCGCGCAAGCGCGCCCACGACGCCGTGGCGGGCGCCATCACCGACGACGGCGACGAGAAGAGCACAGACGAGGACAACGACGGCGACGCCAAGGACGACACCGAGGCAGTCGACCCCATCGTCGCGACCAACTTCGAGCGCAAGGTCAACGCCGACGGCACGGTCGAGTACGAGGACACTGTCAAGCTGTGGGAGCCGGGCTACCGAGAGCGCTACTACCGGCAGAAGTTCGGCGTGGGCCTCGACGATGCGGACTTCCGCCGCGCTGTCGTGAAGAGCTACGTCGAGGGCCTGGCCTGGGTGCTGGCGTACTACTACCAAGGCTGCCCGAGCTGGACGTGGTACTACCCCTATCACTTTTCGCCGTTTGCCGCCGACTTTGTCGAGCTCGAGACGCTCGACATTACCTTCGACGTTGGTCAGCCGTTCCGGCCGTACGACCAGCTCATGGGCGTGCTCCCCGCGGACTCGTGAGTGTGGCTCGCAGCAGTGTGCGCGCAGCGCTGATGATCTTGTCCCAACAGGCGCGCGAGCATCCCGCCGGTCTTCCACCCCCTCATGCTCGAGGAGGACTCGGAGATCATCGACTTCTACCCCAGCGAGTTTGCGATCGACATGAACGGCAAGAAGATGGAGTGGCAAGGCGTCGCGCTGCTGCCGTTCATCGACGAGAAGCGCCTCCTGACGGCGATCAACCGGCTGTACCCCGAGCTGTCGGAAGAGGAGCTGCGGCGCAATGCCTTTGGCGACCACACGCTCTTCGTCTCGGAGCAGCACCCGCTCTACGACCACATCTGCGTCCTCTACGGCAAGCGCAAGAGCGTCGAGCCCATGCAGCTCGACACGAAGCTCTCGGGCGGCATCTCGGGCACGGTCAAGCCCGACCCTGCCTGCCTGCCGGGCACGACCTTCTCTTCGCCGCTCAGCAAGGTCGGCGAGCCCGACATCACCTCCGACCGCTCCATCTCGTCGCTGTACGAGTTCCCAGAGCAGACGACGCCGCATCGCAGTGTCCTGCTCAAGGGCCTTCGGGCGCCGGCGAAGGTGCTCACGAACGAGGACCGCGAGTGGACGCGAGCCGGCGCGCCGGACCGCGGGCGCGGGCGTGGCAGAGGACGTGGCGGTCGCGGCGGCGGCGGTGGAGGCGGAGGCATGCCAAGCCATGGCTCGATGCGCTTCGGCAACGGCCCGGTCAATGCTGCGCAGAACCAGCACACACGATGGGGCAGCAACCCGTCGAGCCCATACGGCACGCCGACCGGCTATGATTCGCCTTGTGAGTCGGCTCCGCAGCCAGGCGCGCCTCGCGGCCATCACTGACTCTCTCGCCCTCCTGCAGACGGCAGCTATGGCTCTGCATACGGCGGCAGCAGCTACGGCGGCGGAGGCGGTGGCTACAACTCGCCAGCCCGCGCAGCACCACCTCACACGCAGCCGGGCATGCAGGGCTACAGCGCCGGCGCGCCCTATGGCGGCGCACCTTATGGCGGCCCGCCACCGCCGCAGCAGCAGTACGGCGGCCACGGACAACCGCCGCCGCAGCAGTACGGCGGGTATGGAGGCTACGGAGCTTACGGCGGCTATGGCGCAGCCAACGGCGGGCACGGTCAGGGCGCAGGGCATTACGGCAACTACGCTGCGCCGCCGCCGCCACAGCAGCAGCCGCAGGCATACGGCGGCTATGGTGCCTATGGGCAGCCTGCCGCCCAGCCGTATGCCGGCCAGCCCTATGCGCCGCCTCCGCCCGCACGTGGCGGGGCGCCGGTGCCGCTGGGCATGCGTGGCCCACCGCCGGGACGCGGCGGCGGCCCGCCAGGTCGCGGCGGCGGCGGACGTGGGCGCGGCAGCTCCGGATGGGGCCAGTACTGAGTGTCGTGGCGTGTATGATGTATCACTGTAGACTCTCGCAATCACCGTCTCCCAGGATCTGACAGAAGGGCCACGAGCACGGCGGGCGTGGTCAGAAGCGGCTGAGGAGGGTGCGGGGTGCCGCGCGCGCGGGGTAGAGCAAGCGCGCGCGGCCATGCGCGCGAGAGCTCGGAGGAGGCGCCCGCCGCGCACGGACGCGCGCCTCGGTGGCTGCTGCCAGCCCTGCTTCTCGACCGTCATCCCGCCTCCACCGTCCATCACGCGCTATCGCACGGGCGCCGTCCAGACCCCTCGCTCCGCTCAAGCACTTTGTCTTTGCCTCGCACAACATCAGATCGACCACATCCTCCGGCGTAGCTCAGCCATAGCGACCTGCGTCGCGCGCATCCACACCATGCCTGCCGCCGTCTTCGCCGGCCTGCCGCCAGCCGAGCGCATCGCCTTCTTTGGCGTGCTGGACGAGTACTTCTCGTCGCGCCCGCACTTTTTGCCCGGCGCTGGCTCTGCTTCCGGCACGCCAGCAGCTGCGCCGTCGCCGAGCAGCGCAGCCTCTTCTCCGCCGCCTGCTGCCGCCGCAGCGTCGCCCTTCCCCACTCGCGCCGATGCCGAGCGTCTGCGCCAGCTTGCACCGATGGCGAACCGCGCCGCTGGGCTGGCCAACCGCTTCGCCGGCATGCGCACCTCCGAGCCGGCTGCGGGCCAGACGGCGTCAGGCGCCTCATCTGATGCAAAGGTGCGCGGCCGGTGACTGCCTGCGCTGCACGATGCTGCGCCTCGCGCAGTACGCCTCCTCTGACGCACTCGTCTGCAGCCGCACTCTGTCTCGTCCATAGCTGCTCGTGGTGCTGCGCTGGGCTCGCTCTTTGGGTCGAAAGCGCCAGCTGCAGCCCCCGCCGCAGCGCCCGCTCCGCAGGCGGCTCCTGCGGCGCGTGCCCCGGCTGCGGCTCGCGCACCGCCAAGCCCACCAGCCGCCGCGCCAGCAGCTCCTACGCTGGGGACGGCTACGGCTCTGTATGCGTGAGTAGCCACAACAGACAGCGCGCCGCTATCCGTCGGCTGAACGAAGTCTGCGCTGCGCAGCTACGACGGCGGCGAGGAGGAGGACCTGACGGTGGCAGAGGGTGAGACGATCACGCTCACTGAGCGCGTCAACGACGAGGTGAGTGTCCAGCGGCGGCCACCTCTGCCATGCCCAGAGCTCACGAGCGCATGCTACCTCGCAGTGGTGGCGCGGCACCAACGCCCGGGGCGAGAGCGGCATCGTGCCAGCCAACTATCTGCAGATCCACTAGCTATACCACACTGGCCGCGACGTCGCGGCCCGAATGCATGTGCTCTGCCCTGCTTGCCTAACCCTGCTTGATCGCCCATCGCCTGCAGCCGCGCGCTGCACACGTTTCCCAGATCGTGACATTGCCGAAGCACCACAGCGACGCCGAGCGTCCACTGGCCGCTTGTCTAGATGCGCAGACTGCCCTCGCCGCTGTGCCGGCGGAAGCGCGGCAGGCGGCCCCACGCATCGGCCGCGGCATCTGCCAGCTGTTGCCGCGCAGTGAGCCCGTAGCCGTCGCCGCCAGTCGCTGCCGAGCGGCGCAGGCGGTAGAAGATGAAGAGCGCCAGGAAGAGCCACCTGCTCGTGCCGTGTCAGCCACGCTCGAGGGCATGCGCGCGGCACGATAGCGCACGCCTTCTGCACTTCCGATGCGCACGCACCAGAAGGCCAGCAGCAGCGGCAGCAGGCTCAGCGCGGCGATGAAGAGCGTCAACGCCGACGTGGCGGCAAAGAGCAGCCAGCCGGCGCCGCTGACGCCGAGGCGGCGGGCAAAGGCGATCAGGTCGTGGCGGAACGTGGCGGAGAGGAGCAGGCCGACGACGACGACAGTGAGCAGCGCGCCGAGCGCCAGGCGCTTGCGGCGCGACGACACGGCGGCGGGGTCGTTGCGCGGCGTAGGGAGTGCGATGGATGGCATGGCGGATAGGGCAGAGCGCAGGGGGCGCAGGAAGGCGGCGGGGAGCGGGGTTTGGTGGTGGGAGACGGGACGGCGGAGCGGGCGAGCCCGTGCGCAGCAGGCATCTCGCGTGGCAGCGTGGGAAACAGGCGCCAAGAGGTACGACCGCCGTGCTGCTGCGCCTCACCTCTCGCTGCGACCAGCACCGGAGGAAGAAGACGGGCCGTTGAGGACGGAGATACCTCGAGAGTAGTGCTGCCTAGATTGTGAGCCTAACCCAAGCGCACGCAAGACGATGCGGGCCGAAGGAGAGGGGCTGACAAGCCCGAGAACGGTGCGCAACGGCATGACGGCGTGGCTGTGAGCGCGCTGCTGCCGCGCGCTGCCTGCTGCGCGTCGCGCATCCTTGCCAGCCACCGACGGACGTGCTCTACGCTTTGACCGCCACGCAGACGGCCGCGAGGGGCCTGTTGCGCTGGCTGGGGACGTTCGGCGATGGGACACACCCGGTCAACGGCACACAGTAGATAAAAGAGGGTATACGATTGCAGGCCGCGTCGCTCAGCGCGACAGGCGGCGGTACAGCTGGCTCTTCTCAAACGTCCAGTCGGGATCGTCGATGAGCGGGTACACGTGCGTGAGGAGCTTGGCTGCGCAGCGGCGTATCGGGTCAGTCGCGGGCAGCATGCGTGCGCATGGGGCGCCAGCAGTAGCTCACCAGCAGTTGGGCGCTTCTCCGGGTCGATCTCGAAGCAGTTGCGCAGAAAGTGCGCCTGCACGGCGGAATGTCAGCTCCGAGGCCCCCGCATCACTCGAGGTCGCTACCCACTGCCGCCTTGGAGAGCCTGACGTCCGGCGGAATCGGCGGCGCGCGTCTCTCCGCGCCGAGCTTGAACATGGCCTCGACGGCCTCCTGGTCGCTCCATGGCCGGCGGCCGGCGAGCATCTCGAGTGCGACGCATCCGAGCGACCAGATGTCCACCTTTGCCGAGTAGCCGCGCTTCGACTGCGCCACGACCTCGGGCGCCATCCAGAAGATGCTGCCCTGCAGCGACATGGACGCCACGTCGCCGTAGACGTCTTCGCTGCGGCGCACAGTGCCGAACTGAAGGCGAGGTCAGCGCGAGCGCAGAGTCGGGTCAGCGCCGCGACTCACGTCCGAGATCTTGACGATGCCGTCCTGCGAAAGCAGTAGGTTGTCCGACTGCGAGACTCGGTCAGCCTCTGCCGTGGCGGCGCACGCAGCAGAACTTACCTTGACGTCGCGGTGCAGGATGCCGCGGTCGTGCAGGTACGACAGGCCCTCGAGCACCTGGTGCAGGAAGCTCTTGATGCAGTTCTCCTCGAGCTTGCCGTACTTGCGCAGCACGCTGCCGACGCTGCCGCCGGGCACGTACTCGAGGAAGATGGAGAGGTGCTGGCGCGTCTCCTCGAAGCCGAGGTACGAGACGATGTGCGGGTGGTCGAGGTCCTTGAGCGTCGAGATCTCGGCCTTGAGGGCCGTGACCATGCCCTTCTGCCGCACGTCCTCGCGGTCGGATGCCGTGGTGGGCAGCTCGACTTGCTTCACGGCGATCATCTCGCCCGTCGTTGCGTTGAGCGCCAGGTAGACGCGGCCGTACGTGCCCTTGCCGATGAGGTCGCCCTTGACCCACTTGAAGACCGCTGCGACGCGGTGGTCAGCACTGCACCACCGCCGCAAGGCCACGCAACTCACGCTTCTCGCTGGACGGCGACTCGCTGGGTGTCGCCGACGGGGGCGCCACCTCCTGGCCGGACGGCGTCATCTCGACCACCTTGGTGCCCCACAGCTTCGTGCTGCGCCTGCGCTCCAGCGGCGTCATGCCTTCGAGTCGGCGGCGCGAGCCGTGCTCTGAGCGCTCGAGGATGCGCTTCCTGTCTTGCGCCACAATGCGGATCGATTTTTTGTGCCCGCTGCGGCCGGCGCGGCCAGCAGCGGCGCCGACGGGCGACGCAGGCGTCAGCACAGAGGCCATCGAGGCCATCTCGGCCTTTGGGCTGCCGACAAGAGGGCTGCCCGGCAGCAGCGTCTCGAGCACGGGCTTGTCCAGGTCGTGTTTTGGGAAGAAGTCGTCCAGGTTCTCGTACAGCTGCTCGGGCGGCGGGCGCGGCGCCCAGTCGCCGTCGCGGTGCGCGAAGGAGGTGCGCCGGTTGACCCCGCTTCCGCTGGGTGTCTGTGAGACGGCAGACGTCGGCGTAGCGAGGCCGGCTGAGCTGCCGTCGCCACTGGCCAAGAGCTGCTGCAGGTGCGGCGAGGCGGACTGCGGTGTCGGCGATGGCTGCGACTGCGGCGCGATGTGTCGGGGAGCTTGCGGCGACGTGGCGCGCGACACGGTTGTGCTAGTCGAGTCGGCGATGCTGATCGTCAGGATCGGGCGTCGAGGACTCGGCCCGGCGTGCGGCGAAGTGGGCCGCGGCGAGACACCAGGGTCGTGCAGCGTGGTCCCGTGGCTCAGGGGAGTCACGGGCCGCGCAGGCTCGGCAGTGGCAGCTTCGGCTTGCCTCTGCACCGCAAGGAGCGCGGGCGAGGAGTCCAGTGGCTGCGCCCACGTGCCGGCGCCGTCCTCGTCGTCCGAGTCATCGTCGACGAAGCTTCCGAACGTCGCGCTGTCCCCGTCGTCTGCGCTCATGGCCTCGGCGTGCTTCTTGCCGCCTGCCGCCAGCTTGGCAAAGTCGGCCGCGGTGATGGTGCCGCTGGAAGCCTCGGATGAGAACGAGCGCGATCCGTCTGTCGAGCGCGAGTCGGCGCGCAGGGTCGCGCTTCCTGCCGAGCTGACGGTGCCCTCGGAGTCCAGGCCGCTGAACAGAGACGCCCAGTGCGCAGCCTGCGCCAGGTTCTCCTGCGCGGCGTCCGGCGGCGACGGCGGCTGTGTGAGCGACAGGCTTGGAGCGGAGGAGGCCGGCTTCTCCGGCGAAGCAGCCTGCTGAGGCGGCTTGGGCAGCGGGCGCATCTTGAGCAGTGCATCGTCGTCCTCGTCATCAGCGGCCTCGCCCAAGCGATGCGCCCCTCCGCCCTCGTCCTCTGAGCGCCGCCTCGCGTCGACGGGGCTCACAGGCTCGGGGCGCGAGCTACGCACAAGACCGGCCGAGCCTGCCGCATCGTCGAGCGCGCGGCCGCGCTTTTGCTCTTGCGAGCTGTGCGAGCCGGCCGACGAGCGCTCGGCAGAAGCACGCCGAGGCACCTGATGCTGCATCTGCGGCGAGACCTGCTGCATGCTCTGGCCGGGATGGTGCGATGGTTGAGCACCGTAATGCGCCCCGGCGGAAGCAGGCTGCGCGCGATACGGGCCATAGTCGGCGGATGGCGGCACTGCACGCATCTGGCGCTGCTGCTGCTCTCCAGCATACACGTACGGAGCGCCGTGCGCCGGATTGTAGCGGCTTGGCGACTCTCCGCGTGGCGAGGCTCGAGCCAGCGAGGCGTCGGGCTCGTACGACCTGGGCCCTGTCCAGGCGCGCGGCTCCCTCGGCCCAAAGGAAGGCTGCGGATGAGGTGCGTGCTGCTGGGCGCGGAGGCGCTCCTGCACCGTCATGCCCGGCGTCAGACTGCCCTGCGCCGAGGCGATGCGCTGGAACTCGGAGACTTGGCGCGAGCTGGACGCTGGGAAGTGTGCCGACGTGAAGGCATCCTCGCGTGACATGTAGATCGGCACGGGCTGCGGCGCTTGCGACGGCGGCACGGGGCGATAGTGCTGCTGCTGCGGCGCGTCGTGGTACGTGTGCGGGCGCGAGGGGAATGGCGCTGGGGAAGTGCCGCGGGCGCCGTGCGCCGGCCCTGCGTATGGGCCGGGGATGCGTGCGCCGAACTCGTTTGTGACGCTGTGGGGGCGAGGCGCAGTCGCGTACCGGCCGTCGAAGCTCGCGTTCGGCTGCATCGGCGCGCCGCTGTACGGGACGACGGGAGCCACTGTGCCTGGCCGTGGAGGCGGACCCATTGCTCCGGGAGGTGCGTGGCGTGGGCCCATCAGGCGCGCATCTGTGGGCGCCCGCGATGCGCGCGGATCGCCGAAGGACGGCGCACGTGCGCGCATGTGCTGATCAGCGGCGTGGTGCGGCATCGGGCGTCCGTACGGGTCGGCAGCGAGGCGCGGGTCGAAGGGCGGCGAGCGCATGGGGTGAGACTCGGCGCTCGGCCGGCGTGGAGCAGGAGTGCCCGCGGACGGCGGCGCCGGTGGCCGAGCGTGTCCCGGCGCGTACGCACTGTAGGCACCGTGTACTTGCGACGGCGGCGGCGGCATTGAGCCCGCCGGCGGAGCTGGCGGCGCGCGAGAGCGTAGCTCGTCCATGCTCTTGACTGGCTGCAGCGCTCGACCATGCGCGGACGAGTCTGGTGGCTGCGCGTAATGCGGGTGGTGCACGGCAGTCTCGGAGCGCATGCGGTCGTGCCGCTCCATGGGCGGCGAAGGGACACTTGCGTACATCGACGCCGCGCTGGTGTACTGCCGGTCCCACTCGCCCTGGTGGCCCCGCTCGCGCGCGTTCTCGCCGCTGGACGCGTTACGCGGCATGCTGGGTCGTCGCGCGCCCTCGTGCCTTCGAGCGGAGTCGTGTTCCGAAGCACGCATAGTCTGCCCGCGCCGCTCGAGCGCGAGGCCGGCCATCTCGTCGACCACTGCCATGTCCGACTCGTCGTCGAGCTTCTGGCGCTCAGTCACGGAGAGGAGCATCGAGCCGGGCGCGCGCGCATACTCGTTGGCAGTAGCCGGGCGACGTGATGCGCCGCGCGAGCGGTGCAGGCCGCGCGCGGCGCCGCTCTCCGAGCCCGAGTCGTAGATCTCGGGCTGCGCGAGCACGTCGCTCACAGCCGACGAGCGCGAGCTGAGACTGCCCGACTTGGAGTGGGACTGCGACGAGGCGCCCACGCCGGCGCTGGAGCTGGCGTGCGTGGTCGAGGTCGTCGTGGTGCTGCCGCTGTGCAGCTCGCGCAGCGCACGCCGCGGCGAGGACGACGAGGCGACGGGCGGCGGCAGCGTGCGCGTGCTGTCGCGCGGCGGCGCAATCTGCTGGAGCAGGAACTTGAGGCTGCCCCGCTCGTCGCCGATGGTTGCGCACTGCGCCAGCAGCTCGTCGTCAGACAGGCGCGGCCCGTCGACGTCGAGCTGCCCGATCTCGGTGCGGTACAGCGCGAAGCCAGAGTGATCGTCGTCGAAGATGTCTGCGCAGTGTGAGCCTCTGCGCAACGGCCTGTACGGGCAGGCGACTCACGCAGCTTGCTCAGCATGCGCTCCTTGATGGCTGCTGCGTCACTCAGGCCGCTCACGTCGACGACGGCGAAGCGCTCGTTGTCCTCTGTCACTTGGATGAGGACCCGGCCGAGAGCCTTGGCGGGCAGATCGCTCGCGGCGTACGCCAGAATGGGCGACTGCAGAGAGAGTGAGCACGCGTGTCCAATGGCTGCCAGCAGAGTTGCTCACCTCGTCTTCGATGTCCACTGCACTGCCGCGCGAGTCACTGTGCGACATGGCGCTCGCGCCGCGCCGGTGCCCAGCCGTCGCGCCCGCTGCGGCGCTACCGCCCACACGCTTGCCGAACCGCTCCCACATGCCGCCGACGTGCTCCAGCACGCTGCTGGGTCTTCGGCTGCGCTCGTGGCTCGAGCCTGGCTGCCCCGAGGCCAGCGAGGCGGAGCCTGCCTTTTCGCGGCGCCGCGGCGTGCCGGCGGCCGGAGCAGACGAGTCATCTGCCGGCACTGGCCTTGGCGACGAGGGCCGGAAGGACGCAAAGAAGCCTCCCGCGCTGTGGCTGGGCGCCGAGCCGGGCGAGCGCGACCCGCCCGGCGAGAGCAGCGGCGGGGTGCTGCTGATCGGCGTGGGCTGCGCCGAGCCGGAGCTCCCGGCGCCCGCCGTGGCCGGCGAGGCGGAGCGCGCCTGGGGAGAGAGCGGCGAGGGCGGCGAGGCGGCGTGCCTCGGCAGCGCCGCCGCTCCCGGCGACGCGGGCGGCGGCGGCGACGTCGTGTAGCGAAAGTGCGGCTGCTGCGCCGGCGGCTCGGCGCTGAGCGGCGGCTGCGGCGGCGGCACCGGCGAGCGTGCTGGCCGCGGTCCGAGCGGCGACGCCGGCGGCGAGGCGGCGCCTGGCGACGACGGCGCGCCCGCGGCATGTGGCGGCGGGGGCATGCTGCGGCGGCGCAGCTCGGCGCGCCACACCGTCGCAGCTGTGCCGGGCGCAGAGGGCAGCGGTGCGGGGCGAAGAGAGCTGAAAGCGATGGGCTCTGAGCGGACGGACGGGCAGCGGCGAAGAGCACTCGAGCGCGGTGGAAGCCGCGTGGGCAGAGCGAGCAGGGCCTGGCGGACTGCCGAGCTGGCGCGCGGTGCACGCAGGTGCGACGAGGGAAGGTGCGGATGGGGGCAGAGAGGAGGCAAGGGAAGGGGCGGGGTGGGCGACGCTGCGTCATGAGATGTCCCTGCCGCGCACCGCGCCGCGCGGCGCTCGCCGCGCGCGATAGCCGCGACGGCCGCACACAGGCGCAGGCAGGCCGCGCCGCGTGCCGCATGCTGCCCTCCCTGCACCTCCAGGCGCTCGGCTTCGCATCCAGCAGCATCCGGCGCACCATGGGCCCCACTGTCGTGCGCGCGGTGGTGCTGCAGCCTGACGGCGCCTTGATTCGGGCCTCGCGCCGCAGCACAGCGGCGGACAAGAGCTGCGGGGTCCGCCTCACCTCTTTGGTACGGTGCGCATTCGCTGCCAGTGCGCGGCTCAGGTCAATGCGGAAACGCCGCCGCAGCTTCCTGGGCTCAGTAAGAGTGCACTCGGCATAGACGAGGCACACGCAGAAGATGCCGGCCCCCGGATGCGCCGAACGGCTGCAGAGGAGGAGAGCGCCTCGCTGCTGCTGCTGCTGGTGCGGTCCGATGCCGCGGCGGCATGTGCTGCCGAAGGCCCGATGCGCCGCGCCGCGCGCTTCCCCGCACCGCGTGGTGCGCGCGTGCCTGAACGTGCCCGGCCCCCGCCCCGAGGCCGCTCACGCCAGCTCACCGCGCTCTTCTCTTGCGCGTAGTGGCTCGTGCTGCTCTCCTGCACCGGTGATCTCGCCGTCGCACCTTCTCGTGTGCTGCAGGGGCGTTCGCACCAAGGGAAGGCGACCCAGTGCAGCTGCCGCGTGGTGCGCACCCCTGGCGAGCATGCGCCGAGCCGCGCCGAGCGGTCGGATGGCACGTGCGTTGCGGCCATGGCTCAGCCTCGCGCTGCTCACACCTCGCCTCCCCACCACCACCCTCGCAGCGGACGCAGCAGCAGCCACAGGTGAGCCGTCTGCGATGCTTCACGTCGTGCACGGGGCAGACAGCTGCAGCACGGTCGAAGGCGCGACTGTGGAAGCGCTCGGCCTCCAGCCAAGCGCACCGGCAGCAAGTGCCGCCGTCCTCAGGGCAGCGGCCGCAGCAGCAGAGTCGGCCGCAGCAGCATTGCTCAGCGCAGCGGCGGCGCACAGCACAGCTGCAGGACGTCAGTAGCGCACAGCACACGGCATCTGCGCAGCGGCACTTGACTGCGGCAGCCACAGGTGAGCCGTCTGCTCGCACGTGCTGCACTTTGTCTGACGGGGCAGACAGCTTCCAGCCAAGCTCTCGCAGCGAGCGTCGCATTGCTCTGTGCAGCCGCCGCAGCTGCAGCATTGCGCAACGCAGCGGCGGCGCACAGCACAGCGACAGGACGTCAGTAGCGCACAGCACAGCGACCAGACGTCGATTCGCTTCGGCAGCGGCCAGACTTTGAGTCGCTCCGGCAGCGGCAGCGCACAGCTCAGCACAGCACAGCGGCAGAACGTCGAGTCTTGCACAGCGGAGCGGCGGCGCACGGCATAGCGGACGGACGTCCAGTTGCTTCGACGTCGAGTCGCTTTGACAGCGGCAGTGCAATCACAGCGGCACGACGTCGATCATCTCAGCAGTGGCAGCACACGGCACAGCGGCACGGCATCAATCATCTCAGCAGCGGCAGCGCACGGCCCAGCAGCACCCAGCGGCGCCACGACGTCCATCGCCTTGGCAGCAGCGGCTTGACGCACATCGCCTCGGCAGCGGCAGCGACGGCGCACAGCACAGCGGCCGCAGCAGCGCAGCAACAGCGCACAGCACAGCGGCACGACGCCCATCGCCTCGGCAGCGGCAGCGACGGCGCACAGCACAGTGCCACGACGTCCATTGCCTCGGCAGCGCCAGCGCAGCGCCGGCGCACAGCACAGGTGAGCCGTCTGCGCGCGCGTGTGCGGCACGGCGTCTGACGGGCCAGCCAGCCTCCAGCCACGCGCAGCAAGCGCTGCACAGCGGCACCGGGCGGCGGCGCACAGCCGGACGACGTCGATCACTCGGCAGCGCACCGCTGGCGCACAGCACAGCGGCCACAGCAGCAGCGCAGCGACCTGGACGGCGCACAGCACAGGGACCGCCGCAGCAGCGCAGCGACCTGGACGGCGCACAGCACAGCGGTCGCCGTCGACCACCTCGGCAGCGTAGCAACGCGGCGTAGCGGCAGCACAACACCTCCGCAGCGGCACTGCGGCAGCAACAGGTGAGCCGTCTCCGCGGCGTGTGTTGCTCGTCCTCTGACTGGGCGACAGCACCCAGCGGCGGCGCACAGCGGCACGACCACCTCGGCAGCGCACACCGGCAGCACGACATCGACGAAGCGGCACTGCGGCAGCCACAGGTGAGCTATCTGCGCGGCGTGTGTGCTGCGCGTCGTCTGACTAGGCAGCACAGCGGCACGACATCAATCACCGCCGCGGCAGCGCACAGCACAGCATCTACGTAGCGGCACAGCATGAATGCAATCCAGCTCCTCGACAGCAGCGACTCGGAGGTGGAGGAGCTGGAGGAGCGCGATGAGTTGGACTCGGACGACGAGGTGAGTTGTGCGTGGGCTCGCTGCCGTTGTTGCTGACAATCTGCAGCGCCCGCCGCCCGTCGCGCTCGCTGCGGCACCCGTAGCCGGAGCGCCCATCGTCGCCGCTGCGCCCGTCGCCGTCGCCGCTGCGCCCGTCGCGGCTGCACCCGTCGAGGCGGGACCCGTGGCGGCTGCTGCGCCCGTCGACGTCGAGGCGGCACCCCTCGCGGCGTTCGACGTCGAGGCGGCGCTCTGCCTGCCGCAGGACAGCGCGGCCAACCGCAAGCACCTCTCCGACCTACGCTTTGCAATGGCCGTCACGTCGTGGCACGCACGCGGCACGCGCAAGCAGCGGCAGGGCGGCGCAGAGGCCGACATGCCAATGGCGGACCGCAGCCTGCGCGACGCCCACGAGGCGGGGGTGTCGCTGGTGTCGGTCGCCGTCTTTGCTTGGCAGCGCACGGCCGAGCAGGTGCGCAGCGCCATCCTGGCCGTGGGCGAGGACGGCGACGTCTACCGCAACGCCTGCGTGCGAGCGGCCGTCAAGAAGCTCAAACGCGTCTTTGGCGCTGACGCAGAGGCCCGCACCGCCGACGAGAAGCGCCGCGCCGACGGCCTCCAGAGCCGCATTGACGGCGCCGACGGCCTCGAGAGCCGCATCAAGGAGCTGCAGCGCCGCGCCGAGGACGAGAAGGCCCGTGCCGACCGCGCAGAGGGCCTCCAGGGCCAGCTCAACGAGGAGAAGCGCCGAGCTGACGAGCAGCAGCGCCGGGCAGATGGCCTCCAGACGCGCATCGACGAGCAGCAGCGCCGGGCAGACGAGGAGAGGCGCCGTGCGGATGAGCAGCAGCGCCGCGCGGAGGACGAGAAGCGTCGCGCGGACGGCCTCCAGAGCTTAGGGTTAGGGTTAGGGTTAGGGTTAGGGTTAGGGTTAGGGTTAGGGTTAGGGTTAGGGTTAGGGTTAGGGTTAGGGTTAGGGTTAGGGTTAGG